GGGAAACAGCTCTCTTTGCTTCTGGCATGATCTAACAGAGCAGCTTCCCCCTTTCACACCATCGCTGGGAGTAAGGTGGGGGAAGTCCATAAAGCTTCCCTCTGGCTTAGGAGAAAAAAGAATGAGGTCCCCTTCCAGGACAAGGGAGAAAAGGCTGAGGCTGTAAGTGGCTCCAGCTGGTACCCACCGGGATATTTACTGTGGACATTGCACGAGATTTCAGACATCACCTGGCTGGACACACACCACACAAAGGCTGACACACGAAGCATAGTCTGTGAGTGAAAAATGACGTGGTGACTTTCACCCAAAGTACCTCTGAACTGGCCAGGTGGCACTCACAGCCGAATTAGGACAGCTTTGTCCTGTTCCCCAACACTCACCCACCTGCACTTCGTGTCAGTGGCTCACAGGGAGGAAGGACGAGGTGCTACCGTTCAGCAATAATGCCAGGAAACCAACACACCGCTAAAACGACACTGTTATTCCCCTAACATGCTTCTTGTACACACAATCATATTTCCCAATCACAATTTCAAAGTCTCGTTTACATCAGAAGCCAGGCAATATAGCTGCAACCCGAAAACTCCCTAGTGTGGCCGTAGCTGTAACTGCTACCAAGGTACTTTCCAACCCGATAAAGGGAATAATTATACCGCAATACATCATCTTTATGCTTAGCACTAGGGTGTTTCTGGCACAACCATTTCTGAATTTATTTTTGTTTAAGTTGCACTCATTACTGAAACAAATTATATGAATAAAAATGTCCTGAGGGAAACAAACCTTAATCAGCCACTCACTCAACCAGCAGCCTCCCGCTGGGTCTCCTCCTCCCAGTCCCACCCTCGCTCCTTCCGCAGAGGCTGTGGAAGTTCACACGGGAGGTTAGCGGGTAAGAGAACCGAGCAGGAATACATCTCAGCTGCTGCACTGCTACCCAAGTCAACATCTGGGCAAGGGGCTCGAGTGCCAAGAAGCACACGGGGAAAATGTAATGGCAAAGACCTGTACGTCTAACCTATAGGCACACGCATGAAACTTCAAATTGCGTTCCAATTTTCTTTTTTCTAGGAAAAAAAAAATATATATATATATATGTTCTTGAAACTGCAGTTAAAAAAGCCCAGGAGAAAGGCATGAAATTCCATTTTATACCTGAATATTCCTCTATCATGCCAGCTGAAATAAGTTTTAGATTGATTTTTACATTGCCCGTAAAGCCATGATAGCATCTTGAATGGTTCAATTACAGCAGAAAGGAGAGAAGTAACGAACAGACACAGCACTCTCTCCAGCAAATGAGGGGAATGGTCCCAATACACCCAATGCACACAGGTGTACATGCATGTATCACAACTTAAAAGCAGTAGCTGGCTTGGTTAGGCTGTGCCAATACCTTGGTCTCTCTCATTTGCTTGGAGTCCCTCTACTTTGCCTGGATGAGGAGAAGAGGCTGAGGTTAAACTGAGGTTAGCTGACACGTGTTTGCCAAGCCTGACCTAATCCCTGGGTTCTTCCGAGTTGTTGCGACTTTCTATCTAAATAATATTAAGAACAGGACGAAACCACACGGACACGGTTGGCTTCCAAGCACCTATTTTTAGCGGCTACATGCAAACAGAGCAGGGCTGAGTTACACACGCTGGCTGCCCCACAAAATCCCGTTCCCCAGCTCCCAAGGGACCTGCATTCCCCGTGCCCCATCCGCTGACGTCGAGCGGATGACTTTGAGCGACTGACTGGCCCTCCAAGCAGTTCCCTGTGGAAGTGGAACATTTTCTAATTCCTGCTATTTCTGCTGGATCTGAGGTGCGGGGAAACTTCCCTGCCACCTCGCAGCAGCTCTTCGATCCGACCTAGAAGCAGGGGTTTGATGAGCAATAAAGAAACAAAAATAATATAGCTTAAACCACAGAGGTGCAGTTTTTTACTGCCTGTTATTGAGTATACAATATTTCGCTCCCACTATTTCAAGGAAAATAACACTCCACGCGATTGCTGTGGGATGTAAATGCGTGCTCCACTGTTCAGACGGAGCTCGTAATTGAAACATTTGAGCGCCAACGAAATCCCAAGCGTAAAGTTTCTAATTTTCATTCAACCATGACATTAAAATTCTGGTTGTGCAGGGAAAAAAAAATACTACCTCGGAGTGCTTTTGAGGTCTACTTCCTTGTGATATAGTAGCTGGCATAAACTCACCCGAGATGCCAGCAACTGCTCACGTACTCCAACACTGGTTCCTGATGCTGTCACCTCCTTCACTTTTGTCAGTCCCTACTCCCCTACCACAGAGGAGGGTGCCAGGAGGGTTATAAAGGAGACACAAACCAATGCCTGCAACATGCTAACGAGTGCCATTGCCTTCATCCAGGCACCTTTGGCCCTGTCCAAGAAACGACCAGGGCTTCGTGCAGGCCGATGCACCCAGCTGAAGAACACCCTCATCTGAAGGCACACCACCGTCATTTATAGGAAGAAGAGGGTTATCTTGCACTGCTGATCTTACTCAGCAGCTTCCAAGATGACTGGGTATGACACGAGGCTAAAAAACCTCAGCTGTAACCACTAAGTGCTCTGCACAGCTGACGGGGAAGCCCTGAAAGAATGGTTTGTGCCTCCCGGATCCTCAGACCATCCGCCCCAACACCCACGCTCACAACCTGGATCAGAGCAGCCCCTGATTACTTCACACTCAGGCTCATGAGCCTCCCATACTTGCATCCTCACAGGTTGCCAGTTTCACTGTCCATATGGAATTTAAGGTGTTGAACTCAACCCAGAAAAGTTTTCAAGGGTTGATGTTTGCCTGCCAAAGAGACACCACCACCTGTCCCCTATCAAAATTGGGAGCAAAACAGGTATTTCTAGGGGGTCTCCTTTTGCCCTGTTTTGCTCACCCCCAATACCATATAGGCCACAGTACCTCCAGAAAAGCCCTAATCAGTGGTTCTCATCCACGTCTGATGGACCAAACCAACCCATTCTCATGTCTGCGTGCCCACTTGGTACTCAATTTACCAAACCCCCAGAGCACCAAGACCTGCCTCCCCTCCTGGAGCAGTCCAAAAAGGCGTAAGGAGAAAACAACTTGATGTGCAGCAGGCTTATCACGGTGCTTCAAGCTCTGAACACAGAGGAAGGATGAACTTGTGGTTATGCCACTACACAGAGATGCGGCTTCCAGCACTTCGAGCAACCTACCACAGGTTTCCCAAGTAGTTCTGAGCAGGTCAAATAATCTCTCCCATCAGACCTCCCTACTTTTTAAGTGCCTGGGAAGGAAACACTCGCAACCAACCATCGAGCACTCAGACATCAAAATGGTGAGGGCTAAATAAACAGATGCGTATCTCCCTGCTGAAGAAACAGCCCGGTGCTTTTAATGCCTTACAACGTTTGGTCTAGCTGCCGTGGAAGTATTTAAGAGTGTGCAGCACTCCTTTGGATTAAATCTAAATAAACATAAACAGCAATAAAAAAAAATGGTTTTCCTTACAAGAAGGCCCTTGTCTTGCTTGCACCTGTAACTCTGAATATACGTAACAGGATGTCAAGCTACTTCTTGCATGATGCTAAAAAGCAAAACATGACAGGCATTTGCATAGGAAACAGAACGGCACAGGGAGAGAGGCAAAACAAAATGGACAACTTGCTAGGGCCTGATTCAAACATCTTTGAGAAATGCCACTTGCTCCAGCCAGGACTGAGATTTGTGTCAGGTAAAGCTACAGCAAAATGGAGACAAAAAAAAAAACTCTGAATCATGCCCCTGGAGGGGAGATAAATGAGGGTCGGAGTGAAGTTCATTTAAATCCACCAAGCTGCTTCAGAGGGGGCTACGGATCTGCAAAACAAAATGAAAGGCTCGCCAGGAGCCTGCACTGCCAGTGCTGCAGTGTCAGGAAGGCAACGCAGTGCCACCTGAAACCGACAGGCACAGCACCAGCTCGAGGGAAAGCAGCGGTGGCCCTCCCGGAGGAGAGATGCCTGCAAACAGCGCACGGATCCTGCAACGCGTGCCTCTGGCAGCATACGCGTCTCGAAGGGAGGTTCGGCAGAGCATCCAGGGAGGACAGGAGGACATCCTCCCAAACCCAGAGGAACATAACGGAGCCACATCTATTTACACCAGGGGGAGGCTTCGCCCCTTTCTGCTTGCCATCCTCCTGTGGGTCTCTCAGGGGAGAGAGGACAGCAGCAAATTAGCCGTAAGGCAGCGGCTGTGCCTCCAACACCTCACCAGGGTTAATCTGCAGCCCCGATCTAGACTTCCAGTTATCCTTGTTCCCCCGGTTTCCTCTTCTCCAGCATTTGCATCTCAGCGTGACAGGTATTTCGTCTGTCAGCTTATGTGCCTGTGCACGCCGCTAGGTAGGCGAGGAGCACCCGGCTTTAACTACGGCTCCCCGAGATGCGCTACCAGCTCGGTCCATTTCCCTTTCCTCACCAAACCGAGGGAGCCGAAACCCAAGACATGTCAACTTTGGGATCCTGCTCCCTCGAATGGCAACTCAGTAAAGAAAAAAATATCGGACTCGTCGTTTGCAAAGAGGCGAAAAGAAAAATAAGAAATCCCCAGGAAGCTGATGCATCGCGGCGTTGCATCTGTGTCGAGCCCTGGGTAAACAAGCAGCAACATGAATGAAATCTGTCCAGAAAGACTGCATTTCAGCGCCAACCACGCAACCCCTGGCCAAACCACTGCGTCTGGAACAAAGTTTGAGCGAGCGAGAGCGAGCGCCCGGCTGCGCCCCTGCCATTCAGTGGGGAGGGGGCAACCAAAGCTCTGCGGGGTGGGTGCCCCCCGACAAACCCCACTCGGGCAGCCCCCCGGGGATGCGCACCCACCCACCGGGGGGTGGGCTGAAAGAAGAAAGGAAAGGGTGTGGGGCGACCCCCGGAGCTGCAACCCCCGTGGGGACACCCCTCGCCGTCGGGGGGTCCCCAGCCGAGCCGGGGGGCGCAGGGGGGACCCCGGGGGGCCGGGCACTCACCGCTGGCGTTCTTGCCGCAGATGAGGTGCTGGTAGGGCTGCAGCAAGCCCCACAGCTCGGGGTCGTTGTTGACCGTCTGCTCCAGCGCCTCGAGGGTGAAGCGCGGCCCCTCGGCGCCCTCCTTCTCCTTCTCCTTGTCCTTCTCCTTCTCCTTGTCGGCCGGGGGGCGGCCGGGGGGCGGTAGGGGGGCGGCGGGGTGTCCGGCCAGCACCCTGGCGTGGATGTCTCGGAAGAGGCTCTCGGTGCCGGCCGTGAGGTAGATGGCGGCGTGCTCGTGGATGCGCAGGGCCACTCGGCTGTCCACCATCCAGCGGTAGAACTTGCCCACGGAGAAGGCGAGCCCGCAGCGGGCCGATTTGCCCCGGCTGAAGCGGTCGCCGCCGCTGCCGCTCATGTTGTAGAGGGACAGGGCGCCCAGAGCCGCCGCCGTGCAGCGGGCGGCCAGCGTCCAGCCCAGCACGATCTCCATGGCGCTGCGCACCTCGTGCTTGGTGCACTTGGCGAAGCGGAGGCTCAGGCGCTGCGCCTCCCGGGCGATGCGCACCAGCGCCCGGCTCACCAGCGTGGACAGCCGCGCCGCCGCATCCCGGTTGCCGGCACCGACGCCGCTGGTGACACCACCGACACCACCGGCAGCGACACCGGCACCGCCCGGCGGCCGCGGCTCCCGGCGGGGCGGCGGCGGCAGCAGCAGCGCCTCCACCTCCTCCAGGCTCCAGGGGACCTCCTCGAGGTCGGGCAGGAGCCGGGCGCACTGCTGCCCCGCGCAGTCCAGCACCTCCGAGTCTTCCGCTAGGACGGTGTTGACGGTGTCGAAGCTGTTGTGGCGACTGTGCATGGAGCCAGCTAGGGGCGGCCAGCAGCTGCCTCCATAGGGGTACGTGGGGTGCGAATCCGAGCAGCACAGCGACAAGTTGGACGAGCGCACCGAGTCCGCCGCGCCACCATAGCCGGAGTCCAGCGTCAGGTCTTCCAGCGTCCTCACCGCCGTCTTACCCCTCCGGGCCATCGCCGCACTTCATGCTGCACCCAAGGCGCCCGGGCACGGAGCGGAGGAAAAGCTGGGGACGGGGAGGGGGCAGCCCCGCTGGGCTGGGCCGAGCCGTGCTGAGCCGAGCCGAGCCGAGCCGAGACGAGCCGAGCTGGGCTGAGCCGAGCCGTGCAGCCCCGCTCCCCTTGGCCGCGCACCGCCGGAGCCGCCCGCTGCCTGCTGCCGGCCCCGCTCCCGGCCCGGCTCCTGCACTGCGCCGCGGCGCGGGGTGGGCGGGGACATGCAAATGACCCTCGAGCGCCGCGGCCAATGAGGCGCGCGGAGGAGGAGGGTATGCAAAATACCCAGAGCGCTTCGGCCAATGGGGACGCGCCGCCCGCCGCCAGGCTCCGCCCCCCGGCGCTGCGCGGTGCTGGGCGCGCACCGGCGGCGGGGCACGGCCCGGGGGGTGGGGGCATGGGGGGGGGAACGGGGAGCGCCGGGGGGTGAGGGAGGGAGAGAAGAGCCCTTAGGGAAGCCTAAAATTGGGAAATCTGCGCGTTTCTGAGCCTGGAAATTAGGAAATTGTGAAATTAAAAAAATCTCGACATGGCAAAATGGTGAAGTTCCAAAAATCTGGGAAGCAGAAAATCTCGCTGTGTTCCAATCTTGATGTTTTCCGATCTTGAAATCACAAAAAGAGCAAAAATCTCGCTGTTTTCTTGCTTTGACACAGCAAAATCTTGCAATTTTCAAACCTCGACATCTTCAAACCTCAACGCTACCAAGCCTTGAAATTACAAAACCTGGAAGTTAACCCTCATCGAGGCTTGGGGAAGTAAGATCTCTTTTAGGATTCCTGTTGTGTTTCCTGCACGCTTTCAAGTTCCCCGTGCGACTCCCAGACCACCTCTCCCCAGCTAACTTATTCCAACCCTACATTGCCTGCCTTGGCGTTATTAGGAACTGCCTGGCTGACAGCCCAGGCAACAGGCTGGGAGGGTGCATACTGCATTCAGTGTTGACAAAATGCTGTATCCTTTTAAGCATAAAACACCGGCAGAAATCCCATCCCTTCAAGTACAAGAGCCCAGCAAACGCGTTATCGTGCCAGCAGAGCCGGCCAAAATTCCCCAGCAGACGAGGCACGGCGTGCCGGAGCGGTGCCCGACCCAGGGAGCACAGCCTGGCGTGCCTTCAACGTAAACTTCCTACAGGAAGGGCACAAATGCAGCTATAGGTAGGTTAATTTGTCGGGCGGGCTGGGGAAAGCTACGGCACGGCCAAAAACACTGAGGGGTTGCCTTCCCCAGCGGGTCAAGTGCTGTCGGAAACCGGTTTGTGAGCGTAAGCTTGGCGGTTCCACCAGACACGCTGCAAAAAGCTGATTTTTTATGGGAATACACGGGCATCGTAAGCTCAGCGGTGGTCACAGAAGGTAGCAGGGCTCAGGACAGGAGCAACCCCAACGACAGCCGCTGGCAGCCTGCAAAGAAGATGCTCAGGCCCCCGCTGACAGAGCGGGGGGACCATCAAACTGGGGAGCGTGCCTTGAGAGCACAATCATGCGGACTTCGTGGCTGTCCAGACCAACATCTCGCAGCAGAGCCCTCTGCTGTCCTCAGCCCTTCAGTGCGGAGCCTGCTCGGCTTCCAGGCTGCTCAGGGAAATCCTCCAGCTCTCAGTTTGGTGGGAGAACGGGTGCATCTCCAGGCCCAAACACCTCGTGTTGGGTATTTTTCTGACAAATGCCACCCACCTGACCTTGTCCCTACGCTTCCAGGAAGCACCGTGGCTCTGCGCTGACCGCAGGCAACAGGAGGTGAAAATTAGGGGAATCCCAAGTTTGGGGGAGTTTTGTAGCAGATGGTGGGTTGTGCTTCACGGCGTGCACCCAGGAAGGGTGGGCTGAACAAATGAGGGGGGCGACTTGTTCACCACCCTTGTAAAAGGGTTGATGTTGACCTTTGAGGCACTGTTTTTAGGCTACATCATTACCCACACATCTAGACAAATAGGACAAGTGAGAAGAGGGCAGCTGTCTCAGGCTGCGTGCAGACTCGGGCATTTATGGCACTGACTCAGAGTCAGCGCGTACTTCAGAAGATCTCCTGGCTACTAACTACAGAGAGTTTTTCTTTTCATTTTAATGTGGAAGGCAAGATATTGGGCCTTACTAGAGATTTAGTCCTTGCAGCAAGATCCCTATCACCTCCCATGTCATGCCACCAGCCTGGAAAAAGTCGCGACGCCCGGACGCACCAAGCGCGTGTCAGCGCCGGGCTGGTTCGTGCTTTCCTAAGGAGCAGAGAGACCTGACTCATTTCTTCGGGACGACTAATTACCTTCTCACCACACGCTCAGATCAGTGCAGGGCAGCCGTTCTGGATCTCCAGCTATCTTTGGGTGCCTGGAGGTCCTTGCCTTCCCCAGGTGCGGCCTGCTTGGCTGCTGCAGCCCGCAGCGAGCTTCGGCATGGTTTGGAAGGACATCTGACAGCGCTCCTGAGACAGGGTGACTTTGTTCTGGAAACTGCCCTGGGAGAAGATGGGATCAAACGGTTTGGAGGGAAACACGCCTCTGCGACAAGAGCACTGCCCCATGGGGTCAACAGCCCTCAGCTTTCATCCCAAAAACGCACCACACCTCCCCTGCCCTGGGCAGGCGGGCAGGTGTCTGCAGCCATACCCTACTGTGCGAGCCAGCTGGGGTCATTTGCCTACCAGACAAAAACATCCACTGAAGAAAACAGAGTCCCTTTATATGTCACATGCTCGGGGAGGGGGGACGGCAATTTTCAGCTAGTTGGAGACCTGGACATTAGTTATCCTGACAGAGCTGGGGATTCAGACAGGAGCTGATTAAGCACCCTCAGAGGATGATAAGTGCCAGCCAAAGCTCTGAAAGAGGTAAATTGAAACACACTTTAAAAAGGTGCTCAGGGCAAGTTGAAGCGAATGGGGAAATTAGAGATTGCGTGGGGAGAGCAAGAAGTGCCACAGCTCTTTGCCTTTCCTTCCCCACCCAGCGAACTGCCTGCAAATGGCACCTTGGTGAGAGCCGCAGGGCCAAGCCCGACTGCAAGCACGCTGGCAGGCGGAGCAGGAATGTGCCTGGGATCAGGCCACTCGGTTATTGTACTCCAAAATTCAACGCGCTGCCACGTCATAACAGCTCAGATCAAAAGCAGCACTCGCAGTATCTCGCAGCTCTATCTCGGGCTGGCAGCAGCAAGCAGCAGGCCGCACCAGGGCCTGGCTTGTGTTGCTGGGGATGTCCTGGCGCTCATGTTTCTGATCACAGGGGGTTCGTTTACAAAGCCAGGCTGTGATCCTGTACCTGCAAAGCATGTGTGAAATGCACCTCCCTGGCAAAGCAGCCTCTGGGGCTGCAGCTTGCCTGCAGCCTGCACAAAGCCACCCGTCACAGATGGAGAGATTGGAAGGAAAGGAGCGCTGCCATCACAGGTAGCATCATCCCCCAAGGCCTTTGGGTAACAGCTGCCAAGCGTTCAGACAAGAGGGCTCGTGGAGGAGACTCCTGGTGCTGCTTCTTGACCACGTGCAGCACCAAAATGAGCAGGGGTGGGTGGCACGACAAGGCCACCAGCTCACTGGGACTCAGTCAAAGGACTGCCCAGCCCAGCTGCACTCTTCTGCTCTGCAAAAGCAACAGCTCCTACATCCCATTGAGCTCAAAGCCCTGCCAACTTTCTTCCTGCCATGCCCATGCCCCTGTGTGCTGAGAAGGGAGCGTGGTGGGGGTGTAGAAACCCGTGCCTGGCTGGGAGGAGAGCGATTCCGCAGGATTTCTGAGAAGCTGCTAACTGGGGACACTTGGAGAAACTGCCAGCCAAAACCAAATCATAGATAAAACCATGCAGACCGTGTCTGTGGTACGTTTTGGATGCCAAAACCATAAATGAATTCAGAGAGATCTGAAAATTTTCTGGAGGCTAAGACCACTGGTAGCTATTGATCACAATGATGCACATGCAGTCTTCCCATCTCTGGAAGTTTCTCAACAGTGGTTTGCCAGAAGTGGTGAGATTATGCCAGGGGAAGGAGCACTTTGTGATCACTTGGTTCCTCATGGCTCTGTAGCTGGCAGCTGCGAGAGAAGAGACACAGCAATGCAGAGACAGAGCCAAAGCCCCCAAGGCAGCCGTTTGGTTGCAGCCCTCACTCCCCCACCAGGGGAGAGCACTACCGCCAGCTCACCAGCTTGGTTCCGAGGTCTGCACGGCCAACACAGCCATGCTTACTGTCCTTACAAGGTGTCCTAGTACTTAGGAAGGATCAACTGCAACCTCTACACACCTCTTGACAGATTTGTCTCTTCTTTCCCCCAAACCACACATGATGAAGACTCTACAGCTTCCCTGGATGGTCTGTTTCAGTCGCAGTGCTGCTAGGAACAGCCTTCCTAGCATCTGACCTACAAATGTAAGGAATAAAAAGATGCTCCCAACCTTTGTTAGTGGACAGGGCAGACATCTCTACGTTACTTTCTTTTAGGCAGCACTCAAAGCATAGAGAGCCAAGCAGGATACACATGGAGTTATCCTCCAGCCAGCAGCTTCCCATAATGTCACTACACTCCCCAAAAGCACAGCAGTGTTTGCATGCTTTATGTGCAGTAAGAATATACTTACATGCTATGTTTTGATCAGAACTAAAAGAAACAGGACTAGCAGGCTTCCCTGAGCACAGAGACAGGGAAAGGCTATGCTCAGCCAGTGGGAATTTCCATTCCCACCCAAGACACAACCCGCTTAAGAGATGTATGCATGGGTAGATGAGAAAACAATTTAAAGGTGAAATACAAAGCAACAAAGATGCTCGAGATCAGTAGGAACTTCTTAGTTAGCTGACCCTTTGGTCTTTGGTAGAGAGGACAACTAGCATAGAAATGGCTTCGCTTACTCTGCTTTTTAAGTACTCACTTCTCCCTGTCTATCCATCACCACCTATTAATACTCGTTGTTTCAGGAACGACAGTCAAAGAGGAGAATGCTCAGGGTCTTTCTGGCTACTTGCAAGGATGCAGACCACACTTATGCCAGCACACTTGCTGCACCTGATGCTGCGAGGAGGTGATGAGCTGGATGCAGCATGCTTCGACCCCAGTGTGCTTTGCAACACCACTGCTCTCTCCAGCAGGATTGATTTCTGTCTGTTAGTACTTGCTTGCAACTTAAGAGCTGGTCCTGATTAGAAGCAATACTTTTGTATGTGTTTAAAATACCTTTCTTTGTGGTAATGTAGCTCATTCACAGTTGCAAATGCAATTTTAGGGGTACAGTTTGGAGAAGAGCAACCTTTCCCTCTGGCAAATGCATGAAGAGAAGGGTGGGAGATGGAAGTGAGCCCTGTCCTCCACTTTCCTCACTCCAGGGTTTTCTTATAAACCAAGGAAGGTAAAAACAGCCTCCAGAAGTTATCTGAAAACCCATCCTCACCTCTTAATGGTTCTGGAAGGCCTTCATGAGCCACCGCCTGCATGGCTTCAAAGCACAATTAAGATAAGAGGCTAATACAATTCCCAGAGAGCTTTCTGTTTGTAGGCAAACTGCAGAAAAAGTGCACAAAAGAAGTCATTTTAGTGTGAAGAGGGTTTTTTATTCCAGTAACTCATCCCTTAAAAAAAAAAAAAAAAAAAAAGAAAGAAAGCCAAACCTAGGCATTTTTTGCATGAGAGTATGTTTTAGGAACTGAGCACTATTGTGCCTTTCAGTTTTCTTTGTCTCTAGCACTTGCAACGTCTTTGTATGTTTTCCTTGTACTTTTCTTTAAAAAAAAAAAAAAAAGATTAAAGCTTTTTTTTTTTTTTAACGTTACAGCATTCTGCTCATTCCTCGACTGACCAAAAGCACTGCTGAAATGACTATAAATAAATCAGCCCCCAAAAAAGACTCAAAACTAACAAGAACTATCCCCAGAAAAACTCATAATTGCTGTTGGTGCTTTTCCTCGCAGAGAAATTACATCACTGTAGCGCATCAGGTTCAACAACAAATTATGTCTAGATACGAAGAAAAGACAAGGGATCGTTATTGCTAAAAATTTGCATTTAAAAAATATGTAAACAGCAAATACAGTAATATATAATACAAACCTCCTCTTCTTTGTTTTTTGAATATTGTTATTGTTTTCAAGATGAGTTGTAGAGAGCAGCAGGCAACACGACTCCATCACAAAGTGCATCGGCTGTTCTGTGGGCCCCGATGTGATGCTGCATGGTCCTGCTGACAAGGAGATGGAGGCTACAGTGAGATGGGGAGGGAAAGGTCAGCCGGCCCTTGTGGGGAATGCGGTTGCACAAGGTCACGATGCGTTTAATAAAACCGAGGACTTGCCCCGTGAGGGCGATGGGCTCCACGTGGGAGCAGGCATCCACTGCAAACCTCCTGCAGTTTCCAAATGGAGTCACTGTGCTTTCAGGGGTCGTACGGTCATTACTAACCACTGGCTTCACACACGGCGAAGGTGTGAGCAAACCATAAAATATTTGTGGGAAATGTCTGCCCCCAGTCATCACAAAATCCCTGCATTTTCCACCTTCTCCCCCTTTCCCTCCCATTGCTGGTATCAGGCAAACTATTTACGGTCTGTGCAGGGATTATGTTTTACCCACCTTGCCCAGGCAGTGACCTGCTGGGGTTTCATGTACTGTAAGAAATATGAGCTACCAACCTGCCTCTTCCAATTTTTGTAATTTCAAGTATTTCTTGCATTTGCAGCTGCCTAAAGGCTCAGAAAGCAAGCACTGCAGAGGCAGGGGGAAGGGCTGAAAGCAGTGGTTTTTTACCTCACAAGCTCTCAGATGGCTCGCATTTCATTTAAAAACCTGCCAGAGAACATTTCCCAACAAGCAACCTTTAAAGCTCCTGTACTGGATTTACGTCACAAGGTTTTGGTAGCAAGGACGGCCTCTGTGAGCAGAGCCCAGCAGCAGCCCCGTGGCAGACCAGAGCCAGCTCCAGACAGCTCTAAAGGGACCTGCTGCTGGCCAGAGCCGAGCCAGTGAGTGACATTGGTTGGGCCTCTGGAAGAGCAGATTTAAGAAAGGGGAGAAAATAAATAAATAAATAAAAACTGCTGTGCAACAGTGCTGGGAGAGAGGAGTGAGAAGCAGCCCTGCAGCCCTCAAGGTTATGCAGCAGGAGGGCAGGAGGTGCTCCAGACACGCAGCAGCAGTGCCCCTGTGGCCTGTGGAGAGGCCCCTGGTGGAGCAGGCTGTCCCCCTGCAGCCCATGGGTCCCACATGGAGCAGATCTCCACGCTGCAGCCCCCCCCATGGGTGGAGGAACCCCCGGTGGAGCAGGTGGATGTGGCCTGGAGGAGGCTGCAGCCCATGGAAAGCCCCCGCAGGAGCAGGCCCCGGGCCGGAGCTGCAGCCCGTGGAGAGGAGCCCTTTTTTCCATTGTATTCTCTCCCCTTCTTGCTTTGAGAAAGGGAGTAAGAGAAGGGTTGTGGTGGAGCTCAGCTGCCCAGCAGGGTAAAACCACCACAAATCCCCACTGGATGCCCTGCTGTACCTCGCCATGGGGCACAGGCTGATGCCATCTGCAGAGGGGTCAACATCGGGGGAAAAAGCAACAACTCCAAGCACCCGAGGCAGGGTCTGCAATGGACTGGCCTGCACACACATGGTTTTATCATGTACAAGGCTGTGGAAGGAAAAGCCAAAGGACACACTCATCCTGGGCTCCTGTCCCCTCTGGGCAGGGCTGACAGGCAGGAAATTAACCATAAGTAGCTGTGAAGCTTCCACTGCAAGCAGCTCAAGGCGGAGTCCAGATTAGGGCCTAAAACATCTGTGCATCCATTAAAGACTAATTTTGTGCTTTTTTTTTTTTTTTTATTGGAGTTTTACTCACCAAGATGTGCTTTGCACGGATTGAGAACATGCAAAAATCTCTTGCCTGCCAAGTGTGGCAGCTCCTGGCCTTGACCCATGGTCACATCATGCTTTTGGTTCAGCGTTAGGAAGAAGCTGTCTTCTTACACCTCCTGATAGAGCTGCAGGCAGGCTGGGGGAAGTCCAGGGCAGCTCCACCATGTTCCCAAACCCCTTTGGGCTGGCAGAGAAAGGTGGGGAAGGATGGGACATGGTTCCTTGGGCCACCAGAGGAAGCACTGGCCAAAGAGGCAAAGAGGTGATGATTCAGTGGAGAAATAAGCTGTCAGAGCAGGCATCCCAGACACCTGAGAGGCTGCAGACAAGTCTCAGCGATGGGAGACCTGTGCCTTTTGTGCCCACCGCCGTGTAGCCCTTGTGAGGACCAAAGCAATTAGTCTGGGAGGTTTTCTGGGGAAACTAACCTGTGCTGTATCCTTCATGTGCTCCTGTGGAGACAAAGTGCCACCCGTGTTGGGGGCCTGGGGTGCAGCAGCACCATGTGTCTGTGGGGGCACAGCCACAGGACCCTGCACAGCCCTATCTGCTTGGAAAAGAGCACCAGAGCCAGGACACGGCAGCCAGGGTCTTGCTCTGGGTTTCTCCTCTTCTGAGCCCCATCGCTGCTGTGAGACTCAGGGATGTGGGCAAAACACTTCAAGTCTCTCTGCTTTTGTTTTCCAGCTGCAAAATGGCGATAATTACATTGACCTTCTCTATAAAATGCCTGACAAATGCAATACAACAGCTAAGTATTATCATGATTATGTATAAAACAATCCATTATAGCCTCTGGATGCTGGAGAAGAAAGGAATAATGGCTGGAGTCCACATAAACACAGTGTGAGATCAATGCAGGCACTATGACAATGTTGCTCTGGTCTCCTAGTGTGTGTTCCCACAAATCCACAGGGGGATGAACAATCCACACATATCTCTTGGCTGGCAGCTGACTGAAGCTATGTTACAGGCAGGAAGAAAACCTAACCCCATCGCACAAACCAAACTACATATTTCCTGCTTTGATCACAGAAGTAAGAAAGGTTTTTTTGGCCGTGCTTTTTGCATATGAAGAGAATTGTTTTCAGTTTGTTTTAGGGGTTACTTTTGCAGATTAGACATCTGAGTTTGATAGGAAGGAGGCGCCCTACCAGTGCATGTAAATGTTTAACACCCTGTCAAAGTGAGGCACTCATCGGCTTTAAAAATTAAAAACTGTCTGGGAAGAAAAATACTGTCCTGTTTGCTGACAGTAGGAAAGAGAAATCCCAAATCTACCTCCACGCAAACTCAGACTAACATCTCTTGTAGTCTGGTTACCAGGCAAACCTAGGAAATAATTTAAACTTTTTCTAGGACAGCTTCAGAAGGAACCAGCTTAATCCCCCCTGCACTAAAAGCCAGCCCAAAGCCACTTGCCACTTAGTAGTTGAGAAACTGCCTGTCTCCAGCTCCTGCATGACACCCTGGTCATCACGCAGCAATGCCGATTAAATCATTAGAAGAGCTGCCCACGAAAGCAAAACACGCTTACCACACTCAAACCAAAATGCCTTGATTTCTTTCCCACCGTGCCACAACCTGTGCATTTTTATAACAAGGGCACGCAACAGGGGTGCTTCACCCGCTTCCAGGAGATTTTTCCAGAGTGTCAGAGCACAGCGCTTAGATCACCTCCTAAATGGAAACAGAAGACTCCATTTTAACGTGAAACCTTCCTTCCTTGTACACTAAATTTGAAGCCTCAATGCACCTTTCTTAAAGACACCTTCCCAACACATTCACACTCTGCAAAGGAAAAATACCCTGGTGACATGCCAGCAGATGGAAACACTAGATATCTAGACCAGGCTTCTTACTGCAATAAGACATCACCTCATACAGAACAGGAACGGCCCAATCACCCTCCAGACCAACAAGAAGAAGAGAGGGCAGGGGATAGAAGTCAAGGATTCAAATTTTTAATTGTGTGGCCCAAAACCACACAAGATTTTGTAAAGATTTCTTTTTCCCCTCAAGTCTAGGTATTCACATATTCCCCTTGATCTCAACTGCTGCTTTAAAAGCCAGTTCCTCCAAAGGGAAAAAAAACAGGCACTGTATTGGGCAGTTAAAGTCTGTCATATTAAAAATACTGGGGTGCTTTGTCTGCACCTATCTGAACATCTCTGCACAGCAAAGGCACTCGGTTCCTGCTCTGGATGTGCAGAACTCATTTATAAAGTGAAATACTTCTCTTGCCATAGTCCAAGTTTCTTGTTTGTAAAAGCGATGACATTTGTTCAGTTGGTAAAATAATCCACCAGCACATAATGTGCCCCTCTCACAGCTTCTGGAAGAAAGCCCAATAAATACTTTTTTGCTGCATTAAAACTTTTGCTGCAGACACCGGCAGAAGCATTTAGAAGGGGTTCCAAAACACCCATAACAGCAAGATCCAGACTCCTGGGTTTTGTTTACGTGGCCCAGACTGTGTGGAGCAACCATCATGTAAAAGAATGGTGAAAAGACCTTTAGTTACACATTGGAGAACAAACCACATGAGCTGTGGTGCAGTGCTGGCAGGTGGACATGGCCAGCCTGGAGGAGAACTGGGAAACAGCAAACAGCATTTCCAAAAATTGAATACTCTGAGCACACACCTTGAGAAAGCCAAGAAGAGCTAGATCTTCACAATTTCCGCAACATCAAGCATCTTTTGGCTGGCCCCTCTGAAAATGAATGCACATGGAAATCTATAAGTTAACAGTTCAACAAATTTGAAAAACCAAGAAGTAACCTTCCCAACCTGGCAATGCCTTGGGATTATTTCTGTTTCAGAGAGGTGAACAGGAATATCAATAAATGTCATCCTTCTCTGAAGTTCTGACCCTCCTTGATTTTGTACTAAGGTGGGGAGTGCTCAGCAAGCTTTTCCTCACCATCCACCATTCAATACCTGCTTGCTCTAGTTCTGGATTTCACAGGCTGTTCTCTGTACAATCACGGAATCATCACAGAGTCATAGAACAGCCCAGGTTGGAAGGGACCTTAAAGATCATCTAACTCCATGTCTCCTGCCATAGGCAGGGATGCCACCCACTAGATCAGGTTGGCCAAAGCCCCATCCAGCCTGGCCTCCATCTGCTATCAAAATCTACAGCATGTTTTGTCTGATATTCAAATATATATATTTATCATTTTTTCCCTTATCTTTCTCAAGAGGAAACCAAACCAAACGCTATACTCGAAGCAGCTCTGGTTTTCTAAGCAGGATTAGGTTTCTACCCCCGCACTGCGACCAAGGGACTTGTGTGCTTTTTTCTTTCATGCAACTGCCTGCTGGCTTCCCACCACTGGCACACCTGCAGCTAATTCCCATCACATCCAGATGAGAGAGCAGCGAGTATTGTTCCTGACAGGGTTATTACTTTGTACTTAGGATGCTGAAACATTTAGAAAAATTATTTTGATTTCAGAGTTTATTCATATGGTACAACATCACTGTTCATCTTTAGTTACTTTGCTTCCACAAGCAACGCCACATTCTGCCATTAATCTGCTGTGACAGGGCTGCTCTGCTGCCCACGTTGATAGCATCTGTATGGAAGGAGGAACAGATGATCAAACCACACATAAATCGACTCCAGGGCTGAAATTAAGAAGAGTCCCTTCAATGAAACTTTAAAGGCTTGGAAATAGTTGACATTTTTATAACGTACTGCTGATAAGACAAAAATCCCACAAAAGCTTCTCAGTGCAAGAGTATATGGAGGAATGCTGAAAGTCGTAATGCACTGCTCTTTTAGAGCATCCATAAAGGATCCAGCTGCTGAGAGGCAAGGTACAGACGAAGAACTTTTTCTCCCTAAATACTTTTCAGTTTAGCAAATACTGTCTCCAACTTCCCAGATGCTGTAGACAACCAGAGCAGGGCAAAAATAGATTTCCTGTTTGATGCCAGTTCTATTAAAAAAAATAAAATTAAAAAAAAAAAAAAGGAAAAATAGTTAGAGAATGGAGCAAACATTTTGTTTGGTTGCAACATTTTGCCTTTGAGCCTTTAAAAACATCCAAAATGAACCTGAAGGATTTTGAAATAAAGTTGTGGCAAATCGGAAGATGTTGAAAGGAGTGCTTCAGCTGCTTTGAAGTTTGGGCGCTTGTTTTTTTCTCTCTCTCTTTTTGATTTTTATTTTTTACATGAACAATTCGACTAAAATGACATTTAGGTTTCACAAAGTGACATTTTCTTTCCAAGAACACTTTTGGCCAAAAAAATGTCACTTCTCTGTGTAGCAAACAGATACAAAGAGTAAGCTCTCCAAATGACATTCCTTAGAACAGCTCCAACCCATCCTCAAAAGCAAAAAATGAGAAGCAAAATCCAAAAAACCATAAAGTGAAACCTTCAAAGTGAAGCACATAAGGCAAAGTAAAGTAATGAAGACAGCCTTATGCTTGCAGGAACTTCTGACTGCTGACATCCACTTGCTGAGGTGCAGGTAGAAATACCACCATGCTCCAGGTGAATCTGAAATAAAGTGATGTAAAGATGAGTTCATAAAGCTCCTCGCTCTCAGAAAAGAAGCTCCCCTTTGAGAAGACCTCACTGAGGAGGACTGCTGCCCGGCTGGGCAGAGCAGCCCTAGTGGTGAAGGCCACAGCCTGTCCCATGGCCTAGCAGGGCCAGGGTGGTGGGACAGGTTAACGTGGCCGTCCCCTGGCTCAGGAATGGGCCAAACCAGGGAAGTCCCTGACAAGGAGAGCCCCCAAGAGCTAGGGAAGTGCAGGACCATGTGGCTCCTGGCCAGCAGTGGGCAGAGGTGAGGGCCAGCTGTGGTGACGCTCTGAGGGCTGCTGCACATGGTGACATGCACCAGGACATCCGTCTCCGACCTAACAGGCCTGAAAGCAGCCACATGACTCTATTTGAAACTAAAAGAGGAAAGTGCAAAGACTTTGAAGTCAGAAGGCATATAATGAATTCGGCAAAACTTTGTATTTCAAAGCCGGTTCTATTTGCAGAAGCCATCTGCCCAGAGAAAAGCTCGAACACGCACCTCTGACAGGAGTCAAGAGTGCGGAGGGAAACAGAGCTCACTGAGGATGTTTCACATCACCTGTTCCCACAATATCCGAAATGTCACTTTGTAGTGCAGCAGCTTCCATCCTTATATCAATTACAACATTTACATCCAGCTCCCCCGAGGTCGCTGGCATTTGAAGCAACTGTCCAGTCCAGTAGCTCCCAGCACTTTCTAATGAGATATGCCAATAAAACATCACTGCTTGTCCCTCCTAATGATAACTACGAGCTCTCTGGATCTTCCCCTTAAGCCACTGTCTCACTTATCCCCTTATTGAGATTTATTGATCTCCCTTCTCTGCCTTTCCCTGCACTCAGTCTCCAAGCTGCGTGCTGAGCTGCAACCCCACAGATTTCTCCAGCCAAGAGGACAAGGGGCAGTGCAATGTGTGGCCCTTGTCAGGAACCCACGAGCCAGGTTATGGCAGCAAGCAGAGGATGCAAACTCACCCCTTGAGCTGAGCCAGCTGCTGGGGCAGCTTCTGCCACCACCACCACCACGTCCCCAGGGCGCCCGTCAGCTGCGCTGCTCTGCGGCGTGCAGCGTGGGCTTACGTTTCTGCAGCGAGGCAAAAAAAGAAGGATCACGTAAAGCTCAGAACAAGTCTGTTTAAGAATTCCCTCTGATACCGCTAGCCTTTCATACAGCACATAAGAGCCATTAAAATTCTGTCTGATAACCAGCTTCCTGAGAGCACGAGAGCTGGGCGATAGCACGTCAGCGCCAGGCTCCACTGATATTTCTCCTGGCTTAAAACAGAACCTTAAGTAAGCCTGGAAGTCGCCCGTGAAACAAACCCATGTTGTAGACTTTGAGGACGAGTCTTGGCACCACAAGGAAGCGGAGAAGAGCAGAGGTCATTCCCATGGGAAAAGGATGAAATCCTTCCCTGGGAGCTTGCATCAGCCGCCAGGCAGAGCAGCCAGAGGGAGGCTGGTCATGGCCACAGCCCTAGCAGAGCCAGGAGCTGCATGGCCGATGTCCACCCACCTGGGTCTCTCCCCAGCTCTGCTTCCAGTGTTTGCAGGCCTTGAGGGATCATCACTGTCTTTGACCCTAATGGAGACAAAAGTTGTTGAGGAGACAAGGGAGACAGTAAGTCGGCAGAGAGAGACAGATACTATGGCTGTGTAAGCCTGGCTTTATTAGAAATCAGCTAAAAAAGGTTCCTCTTGCTCCTGAAATTTTGGCTGTCTTGTGAGGTTCACAGGACACAGCCTGTTGTGAGCACACACGGTTCCCACCGCTGTAGTATTTCACTACATAATAACCTTTAATATATGTTGCTTTAAAACATTCCTGCCAAAGAGCTATTTCTTCACCCGTGCTAGTTTGCTCAATAAGTATCAGCGTTTACTCACCTGGGCTCACCTTCCTGCCTTGCTGGTGCCGTGGCAGCAGGTGAGAAATCAGCCCCTTGCCCTGTGGCAGCACGGCCCAGAGCCCTGCCAGGAAAGGCTGTGTAGCACACTGAGGAAGGAAAGTGTAATGAATTTTCCTGATGGCCTTGAGACAGGAGCTTTTGGCCCACCTTTGTATGCAGTTCTGTGAGTCCAAGAGGTTAGTTTTCTGTGCCTGTAGCTCTGGCTGAGTGCATGGACACAGATCATCCTGGCCATGGCAGCAACTCAGAGGGATGCTTCAGAGCCCCTGGGCGATGCAGACACATGCCAAGGTCCTAGACACGTCTATAATCCTGCAACAGAAACGAGATTGCTGCTGCTGGAACCCAGTCTCATCTCTGATCTTACAAGCCTAATAATTAAAATAAAATAAATCCACTGATAGACCCAGAAGGAAATTCACACCAGATCCTTCCTGCACTAGCACAGCATCCTAAGAGGAGCCACCTGAGCCATGGGGCACCTTCTCCAGCTGGTTTCTGCCAGGAGAAGCACACAAAGGTACAGGTACTCTCTACAAGATTTCAGTTCAGCTGCCTCTTCCTGGCACGTGTCTATGCAGAAGCACAACTCAGTCACGAAGGGTTAAAGAAGGATGTGGCCAATGCCAGCGGCTGGGCTTTTCCGTCCTTTCTTTTTAAAATGGCAACATTACACATGGTATGGGGGCATTCCAAATGGAGCTTTTTTTTGTTATTTTTCTTCTCTGATACAAAGTGAAATGGCTGGTGGAGCAAGCTGCTGCCTGAGCTAATGGTGAGTGCATTGCTAGGTTTCAATGCACAGAGTTCGGCACTAGATGTAGCCTGGGATGAGATACCTTTTGGCCCCCAAATCATATATAGCAGGATGGAAGAGCACCAGAAGTTGAAACAATTTCCAACCTAGAACAACAGCAGCAACCCCTGGTTCACCACTCCGGCCCCAGCCCATGGTTGCAGCAGCAGAGGACATCCTCCTACAGGGAGAAGGTGCCTCACCACGCAGCCCAAAATGATGGATGTGGCATCCAGGGTGCTTGCTCCCAAGGCATTTTAAGTATATACAACAAGGAGTCGAGAAATTAAAGCAACAACAGCCAAACTATTTGCACCCCAGCAATATGCAACTGATGCTTTAATAGCTACCAGCAGTACCTATGTGTCAGCATTTTGAAACTCGGATCATTTCTTTGTCAGACCAAGAGGAAGAGAAGGAGGTCGGTGAAGACAAGCTTAGTCCAGGCTGGGCACTGATGTGGGGGCTGTTGCAGGCACCTCGCTCTCCCCTGCTCCAGGAGGTCTGAGACAGCAGGAGCAGGGCTGTGCTCCAGCACAATCTGGCATTTAAATGGCACTCTGCTTTGAAGAGTGTCTGCGATAAAACAGCATCTTCTTGCTGAGAAGATGTGCTCCCAGCAAGGATCAGGGTCGTATCTGCTGATTTTAATGACAGAAAATGAGCTTGTGACATATTAGTGGTGCTATCATTGCAGAGCTAACGTGGCCAAGAGATAATTAATCGAAGATGTGTGGTTGAGCCTGTAAGTCGTAGATTGGCTCTTGAAAAATAAACTGCACTCCCGATACAGCTTGGAAATCAAACCATGGCACTGTGAAAGAGATGCTTTACAATGGGAAGTGGCCTTCTGATAAAGTGATTTGAAAATTAAAAGTGTTCTGGGTAAGTGTCTGTCTGCCAGTCTGTGCTGCTCTCCTCGGTGTTGTCCTAAATACCCCCCAGTTTCCCCACCAAGTCTCAGCGTTATGTAGCTGGTGACTCCTGCTGACGCATGTTGGTGCATTCAGCTGAACCACACGCTAGCACGAAGCAGAGCTCACCATATTTCTGGCTGTAGAGCCAGAGTAAACATGGCCCTGTGCCCAGACAGTGCTGGCAGTGGCTGGGAAACCAAGACTGGGAGTCTAGCAAGAGAACTGGGAAAAATCTGCTCCGCTGAAGACACGGGGCAGGAGCCCTTCTGCCACCGCCCAGCACACTATGAGTGCTCCCACAGCCCCTGTTTCGGTGTCAGGAGCAGACATCACTCTTCCCCTTCCCTGATCCTTCCTACCCTTCACAGCCACTCACCAACCACGTCCCCATTTTCCTACCTATGCCCAAGCACCAGGCAGAGCTGCCAAGGAACAGGGCTGTCCGACAGTTGTGCTGCTCTGCCGCAGGCTCCCTGTGTGGCTTCATCACATCATGTCACAGTTTCTCCCTAGAAAATCACTTCCTTACCTCCCAGGGGGCTGGGAGGAAGAAAACAGCAACAACCACAACGTGTGAAGTTATTACAGCCATCAGTCCAGGCAGGCTGTCAGCTTTAGCACGCAGGATGCTAGCACGTGTGGTCCTGGGAGCATTCCCAGCAGCTGCCCTGTCGGACCTGCAGCATGGTCCTCTGGAGAAAGCGCCTTTGGGCTCAGGGCTGGACCACATGCTGACCATTTTCCCCCTCAGGGTGAGAGAATAAACCTCTTTCACCACCTTTCTCCTCTCCTTCTAGGAAAAGGACACCTCTGCCGCCCTGGAAATGAAGCAGAGGCTCGTGCCCTGCTGTGTGGCAGTCCCCTGATGGGAAGAAGCTGAGAAGCCGTACCCAGAGCCTCCGCTCCTCCCTCCCCGACAAAAGCAAAAGCTAGGTGTGGACAGATGCTGTCAAACTCTGCACCACATCAGCTCTTGCCACAAGTGCTCCCTTGCCTCAAACCACCCTGGGAGGAAGCACAGCGTAAACAGTCTGGTGAGATCTGTTCCAGACGCCTGCTGCGGCGCATCAGAAGATTAACATATTAACTCCGAAAAGCCCAGTAATTTTAAGCAAAGCTCTGTACATAAAGAGAAAGAAGTTTTGCAGGGATCAGCAGAGTTTGTCTGGTGCGGGGCAACTAGGGAAACCTGTTAACAGCAGACTCTGAGGATAATTGAGAAAATTATTCAACGCCGCTTTTGAAGGACTTTTGATTACAATATTGCCTGCGTTGGTAATACTTTGCTCCTAATCTTTTCAAATACACACGCACAATGGCTTGCTTATCCCTCGCTTCTGCCTTACAATCAGACACAAACACAGGCTCTGCTCCTTCTGGGGCTCCAGCTGAGCAGGGTAAGCCAAATAAGACACTGCCAGAAAGATCATGGGCAAACACGTCCATCTGATGCAGGAGGTCATTATGTTTTTTTGCACATTAAGTAGCACACACAAACAGGCACTGAAGTATTACTCGATGAAAGCCACAGCTCACACAATTACACAAGCTGAACTAAAGCACCTGAGGCCGAGACCCCCCAGCGCATGGGCCAGCAGGGAGTGAAGGTGGGAAGCGAGAGACACGGGGAGCCCAGCGTAATAGGATCTGATGAAAGAAAGGGGAGCAGCCCAATGAGCCATCCCGGAGCATGGCAGACTTCTTCTAAGGAATTTTGTCACCACGGTGAGGCAACCAGGGCAGTCTGCTCACAGCCAAATGCGTTTTCTGTGCAAAGGGAGGAAGAGGTGCATGCACGGCTCATCCATGTGTTCACATGGAGGAAAAAGGGGCACATCCAGGCTGTGCTTGTGTGCCTGGCCTGGCCCACACCAGGGCCCCATCTCACCCCAAACACCACATCCCCAGCCCTGTCATATATCTGCCCTCCCCTCGCTCCTGAGCAGCATCACATGAAGTGCCCACCTGCGACAGCTGCCTCGGTTTGAACACCCACAAACCAAACCAGCCTAGAGTCCCTGCCTTCCCCCAGGGTGGGTTGCTTTTGAAGCCAGCCATTCTCATTTTGCTGCCAACGCTCCACGTGCAAGCTGCTTGGTGAAGGTATGCTGTTGTCCCAGTTCCATCCCATCCCCATCTTTCACCCCTGCTTCACACGAGGAGGATGCATATTGCATTTCACATAAGCCCAGGCGTATGTGAATGATTTTGTGTGACCAGCTACGTATAATTATCCTAGATGTAGGCCTATAAATGAATCATTAAGATCTGTATCAGCTGGTTATTTAATGTGTCCTGCTAATTAAAACTTTGTGATAAAGACAACTACAAGCTTTCTGTAATTACGCCTCTGGACAGCGCGATGCATTTCCAACTAGTATTTGCAGTCCTGGGTGTGTGTTGACACTTAAAGTAGGGTAGAAAATATAGGTTAACTGCTGCTCTTAATTGCTCTTTGTTAATAAGGTTATTGTAGGATTTCATTGCACGACATCCCGGGACTCTTCTGCATAGTGTACAGTACAGGCACCGTTAGGTGATGACGCACAGTGCACTGCGTTATCCTTCGGTATATATGGAGAGTCTGCTGAAAACTCAGAAAGATCATTTCACCTACAAAAAAAAATATGTCTAGCTTTGGATACTTCTCATTTGCGGAAAAGAAAAAAAGAAAAAGAAAAGTGGTCCAAAGTCATGATAGAGGAAACGCAGCACATTTCACCCTACAGGCTCAAACGTGTCGTTTCTTGTTCAAGCCAGAGATCCTGTTCGTCTCACCACAAGCTTCTCTTGAGTAAGGTCAACAAATCCGAGGTGACCGTCAGCTGGACACAATCAGTGTCAGCAGGAGAAAACACAGTGACTTGGGAAGCACATCAGACCCTGTTTCATTTGCCTGAAAGGGAACTATGTAAGTTGGCTTCGATCTAACTAAGCAGGTCTAATTCAGCTTGTTGCCAGTCTTGTTCTCTCAGAATATGGCTTCAAAGGGAATATGCCTATGTGCGAAACAGGTAGGGACTTTAAAATGTTTTCTTGCAATGGCTATCAGTGTAATAAAATGTCAATAACGAATGATAAATGCTAAGTAAAAGAAGCTTTTCCTAAGCAGCTTATGCTAAGAACATAAATCTTCCCCCACTACCAAAAGACTACATTAAGTGTAGTTCTTCTAATCTCGTCGGCAGCCTGGTATCACTGCCAGGATAAGCATAAGATCAATCGCCTCGGTGGCTCTTCCACTGCAAGCACTGCTTGGTTAATCACGATGGGAGATGACTGCCCTTGTGTCGACATTTGGCGTCTCCTGGGAGGATGCTCAGTTTGCCCCTGTCGTCACTGGAGCAGGGCATGTTTCACCCAGGGGAATGACTCAGGTGTAACTTGTTGGCTCTTGTTAGCCACAGAGCATTGCTTAAACCCTAAAGGCCGCATCCCATGGGAGCAATGCACTAATCTATTGTAATCTGTGGTTAACTTCTACAAACACTAATTTGAGAGAAGACACAATGAAAGCTATAGAACTGCCTCTCAAATGAATTTAAGTCCCCCAAACATGACCTGGTATAGTGTGCACCACTGTGGCTAGCACCAGTAACTCACCTAAAAACTTTCTTCTCCATGCGTTTCTTTCCAGCTTCTCATATCCAGCCTCATCCACAGGATGCTGCATCTCCAAAACCTACTGCAGGACAAAGCCAGAATGCCTTAGGTAAAGAAAGTCTTTAAATATAACTTAGTGTAAGTTAACATTATTACAGACAGACTGACCTTGTGCCTGCAATAGCATAAGGTAGTATCTAAAAACTTCGGCCATATCAAACAGCAGGTCTCTTGTTGAAGAAAATTAACAAAGCCCAGTTTCCTACAGATCTAGCTTTGCACCATCTTACGGTGGGTCCTCTGTTTCTTCTTAGCTACTCTCACAACACCGTGGAGGTGATTACTCCACAGTCATTCCTATCTCAACTATTCCTTGGCATGGGGTGAGGTCTGAGTTTCGAGTAAGGCTCTTTTAGTGCCCCACAATAACAGAGATGGCCCTGTGCACCTTCTCTGACAGTCCCTCAGGGGAGCACTCCCAGCACAGCCTTGTCCTCTGTGGGAGCATTTCACAGTGCTTCTCTATCCAGTGATCTACTTTAATTAAACTGATAGGAACTTAGCTACGTTTGGGACTCCTGCTTGGAGTTTATCAAATGTGATTCAGCTTGGTCAGCCTCAAATAAGGAGGTACAGACCGAGCAAGAGTTTCAGTCTCAAATCTCTCACGGGACAAAGAAGTCCACAAGGAAGGCCTTAGGCCTGTGTGCGCCAGCCCCAGCCTGTGATGGCTGAGACGACGCCAGCACATTGTTATCAGCCTGTGGAGAGGGACTCTGGGCTCAGAAAAGAGGGAGATAAAGCCAAAGCTGCCCATTAGTTCCTCAGCAAGCACCACCCTCTCTACTGTCTTTGAGGAACGTGGGATGTAGCATTAAAACTATGAGATTTTAAACTGAAAGTAAGCTCTACTCCATTTGCCATTGGTATACAAGCACACCAATATCTCTACACATGTCACTGTCACATCTCAGACATCTTTGCTCTTCAGGAGCATCTCACAGAACAGTCCCCATGAGTAGTACTTCCCAGGTAATAGGGGAAATCAGACAGCAGACAGCCCACAAAGGGCTCATCTCTACATGGCTCAGCCCTGTTTTTTTCCCAGCTATCAGTATAGCTACTTCACCAAAATGCTTGGGACAGACAGAAAAACATTTCTATGGGGTGGTAAAATCCAAACTCACCGTTCTGTCAAAATACTTGGAAAGACAGCTCATCCCTGTCCAGGTTCACACCTGAGCAGTATTGTAGGGCAGGAGCAGTATGTGTAGGTGAAGCTTGGCCTTAATAGCAGATGGAGTGCAGAGATGGAGTTCAAACAGGCTATACTGTCCCTGGGCCCAGCAAGCTTCCTTTTGCATGAAACTGGGACAACAGCAGTGGGAACACCTAAAGCATAAAGGACAGGGAGGGGAAAAGTTACCTCAGATGGACCCCAAACTAGTCTTGGAGCCATATGCAGTGCAAACAGGGCAGAAGGAAAAGCCTAAAGCCACTTGCTGCATCCCTTGCTTGGTGAGCAACGCCGTGCCACCAACTTCAGAGTGGCTGTGCCTTTCTGCTTGCTTATTGTTAGGGTGCAGCGGCACTGATGGGGAAGGCACAAATTCCCATTGCACAAGCCATTTCACTGAATAGCAGAGGCACTTGAGCAAAGGAAACAGGAAACACAGTTTCCCACTTGCTCTGCAGTACTTCTCTGTGGCCTTTGAGTAACATCATCCTGGCATTCTCTTCCAAAAGCAGGTGGTTGCAGGCATTGACTGATGGTAGGAAACGAATTATCACCTCCCTGAAAAGATATGGAAACAGAACAGGATTACATGTCTTACTCAAGGGCCAGAAGGAAAAACGGGGTCAAATCCAGAATTAGAGTGAAGGTGCTCCAACAAGAGGCTCCGAGCTCTAGGCTTGCGTGCTGCCTGGCACAATGTGGCCATAATCCTGCTGAGGCCCCCGGGCAGCACAGCCGTATGCATCAGCATGAGCTTCTAATCCCAGCCCAATGCCCAACCCAGTAGGCACCGCCTGACTCACAGAAGGGATTAGCCGGCAGAGCGTAAACAATCGTTGCGGGAGTCGCTGTGCGCCTTGCACAATTGTTTTGTGCTGACTGCACAGAAATTCCTGAGAAAATTAGGATGTTTTGGTGAGACATAACTGAGATTTTCAAACACAAGCAATGGGTATTCTCACTCTTTGACCCTAGGCATAGCCCATTAATATCATTGAACATTATTCCTAAATCTGAGTCAAGCAGATTAGCAAGGATCGGAACTCACATTTGTACCACGAGGCAATAAAAACAAACTACTTACAAGATGATCCTCTGAAGCATCCAGACCATGTCTTCTACCTTTTCCCAAAAACAGGTCCTACTTTCTTTCATCATAAACTGCTTCTGTCACAAGGCAGAACATGTGGGAGAAGAAGGGGGTGCTTGGGAAAAAACAGCAGAATTTAGAAAAATTATCATTTCTTTACGAGAATGAGAAAACTTGGAGATCAAATTTATGTTTTTCTATTAAAACACATGCTACTAGCCTAGGATTCAATTCCAGGAATAGCTGAGGGCTGGCATGTAGGAGAAAGTCAGAATTGCTTGAGTTACCGTAACTCAAGAGGAACTCGTCTGAGGACAGCCAGCTTGGCTCCGCCACCAGCAGCCACATCACAGACCACACTCAGTCTGATCACTGCAGTTTCACTGGGCTTGGGCTTCACCGATCACTTCCCAACAGAGCTGCGTAAACCACCTCCAACTCAAGTTAGAGGGGGACATATTAAATATGAGTCGACTGGGGACAGTCTTCAGGTTATGCTTCAATTTAGCAAAGGAAAAAAATGGTGTTCTGTTGTTGCTGTTCTTGTTATTTAATTTCCTTTTGTATTCAGCCTTTTATAATTTGTGATGGTTTTATCTAATTTGTCTCTAATTTCACCGCCCTTTCCATAAGAAAAACAAGATATATTATAATAAATCTGACCTAAAGCTTGCCAGTCTGGATGCACGGGTAGAGGAGACGAAATAAGCTCTCACAAAGGAGGGTTATTGCTAACCTTGTCAGCAAGCATAAAGAAAACCAAGGGGAGTTTCATGTGTTAATTTTGTTATCTTTCCGAGGCTTGTGATCTCAAAAACCCTCAGGGATATTTTGAGACGCTCCCTCTCTGTCAGGTGCAAATAGGCAGCGTGCTCAGCATGTGTTCCTCAGATCCACAGCAATAACAATGAAATCACAATTATGATAAATGGTGATCAATGATAAAATAATGGTAGAAGGAGCAGGAGCTTCTGCCTGCCCACCTGCCTTTCATGCACCACTGCAGCGAGCGTCTGTGATAGGCACCCAGCTCCCCTGGTGGGACCAAATCCTTTCTTTTTGTCCAGGCAGGGCACATACTCCCACACAGCTGAAGTCGAAAGAGCATTTGCTATTGATTTCCGAAATGAAAGGGATTTCAGTGTGAGGGGCTGGGCCCTGACAAGGAGCCCTTTAAGCTTTGTGCGCTGGCAGAGCTGATGGCAGCAATGAGCACTTTGTTGGTCACGTAGTTGGGGTTGTCATTTTGCACGAGCAGCCTCTGATCTGGGGACAACCCATGAACAGCGAGGAAGATATTAAATCAGGGAAGATAGCAGTGGCCTCTCTGGGAAAACTCTCCCAGTAGCCCTGAGAGAGAACCAGTTTAAGTAATGGGGTGAGCTATCAAACTGCAAATGCTGTTCACAGCTACAACGTGCTGAAGTGAATATCCCTTCTGGAGGAACGACACAACTTACCCTTCTCTTTCAGCTGTAGTTTTCAGCTTGCCCACATGCTCACAAGACAACCTTCACGTAGATGTCTAGTCTTGGTGGTTTTCTAATCACAGGGGCTGAACATAAGAGAGGCGTATGCCAACTTACAGTCTATATTTGTATCCACTTACCTTTTGCAGAGCAGAATAAACAACAAGAGAAACACCAGACCAAGTAGTTGTTGCTGGATCCATGTGCTTGCTCCCCTCGACCCAAAGCAAAGCCTGCTTTCTGAGTCCAGTGCAAAGTCTCCCATCGGCTTTGAGTACTGCCAACTACACACAGGTTAACAAGGACACCAAAAGGAAACAAACCCTGGGGCTGTTCATAAAGATCTGAAAGCAACTTGCCTGAAATAAGAAGAGTAATTCATTCTGCATAAGCATCCATCACACACACAGACTGTTTTCATAAACGTAACGGTGGTGGAGCAATAAAGAAATTTTGTCATTAACTGAGAGATCTAGGAATTACTTTGGTGCACCTCGTACTAGGCCTGGCAATGATTCAGTCACGTATGGAAGCAGAGAGGTTGCTGCTTATGGGTATTGCTGCCCCCGACATGAGGTGTGCTTTGACTACAGAACATCAGAGCATCCTACAATCCACTGATTTTCTAGGTAGTGGAGTAGGAGGCTGCATCTGACTGAATAGCTAATTATTCTCTTAACCCTCTTCCTTTCCCTGCATCTTATTTCCAGGTGGGCAATAAGCTAGATTACCTTTGTGATTACTAGAGTATCTTTGCAATGAAATAATAATAATAATAACGATAACAGTCCATACCTGTAAAGGAGAAGAAATCTTTAGAAACAAAATAGGGCCCAATGCTGGGAAAAGGCTCATGTTCAGCTCTGATCACGAGGCTCCAGCAAGTCAAAAAATGTGAAATTAGATTCCAAAAGACAGTTATTGAGCAATGCACAAGAAGAAGACAAGCTCCAAGGCTTTGCCAGTTCACCACATGAGGAAATTCCTTCCTATCCTAAGCACAGCCAGGGATTCAGCAGTGTGTCCGGGAGCAAATATCATAAGGGTTGATCTAGCTTGTTTTTATCCAGACATGACATTGGCACTCAGAAGATGATGCTGGGTTTTGATCTTGCCTTTCAGTAGTTACACAAGGAACGTCCTACGGCAAAAAATTCCTAACGCTGATTAACCTTTTAGGCCAAAAGCCATACTTTCCAAGTGTTTGATCTAAACTCGGTTATTTTTTAATTTCCAGGAGTAGACTTTTGTCTTCATGTTGCTACTTAGTTCACATAGTTTCCTGTCCAGGTCCTGAAGATCTCCTGAAGACACGTCAAACCCTGCGTGGCAGCCTAAGGCCCGGTAGGGGTTAATGCATTTAAGCTGTGAAAACACGTTCCTGTAAGCAAGCGGCAGCAGAGCTCTGTAGAAATCTTGAATCTGCAGTAATTTCACATACAAGGAATGCCTTGTGGCTCTTGATGGAGTCAGGTTGCTCCCGTAATTTCCCTCCCCGGGGTGGTGGCGGCGGCTCTCCGGGAGGGCAGGCCGCGTGGGGCCGTCACCAGAGGCACCTCGTGGGAAGGCGCCGAGTGCGGCGGGGTTCGAGGAGTGTGACTGGAGCCCGGGATATTCAGCACTACAAAGGATCCCGATCCTTTAAAATGCTTTTCACCGCTTACAGGCCAAAATAATTAAAAATTCAGGGCATATCATGTTTGTGTACTGACGTCTCGCATGTCCAGACGCTTTACGCTAAGCCCTCCTAAAGGCCGTATAAACTGTTCCTAGTCTGTTTTGGCAAGCTGGCCTGATGGTTCCTGCTTCTGATTAGAAGTGTTTCCTTCCCCACTTGCTGAATCCATCCTCCAGTCGAGCCGTGGCACTGGAGCGAAGAACAGCAGACCCAGGGGGGTCATTTACAGTCCCCAGGTCTGGCCACCCAGCGGTACATGGCACAGGGAGAGCAGCAGCAGCCCTCCTTGCAGTTCATTACGCAGCCTGGCAGGGCTCTTTTGTGTAACACAGCTTCTCCCAGACCAAAGCTATGCTAAGGTGTAGTCCAAGGGAGACAGCCCAAAACAGCATTTTGAGGTAAAGCACTACAGACGTTGCAACTATCCAAAAACTAAGCACTGTACATTCAGAATGAAAGAGGCACTGAGAAATACTGCAAGCCTGGCTGAGCTTGGAAATAAATACTGCAGCCAAAGCAACTTGCCTTTTCTTTAAGGTGATTCATTATCAGAACCTTAAAACTATAATAAAAGTACAGGCATGGAAGTGCAATCAGAGGGCAGTAGTCTGGTTATCTTACAACAATTTAAGTTTTAAGGTCTAAAAATGATAAATGCAGAATCTGAACATGAGACAGTAAGACAAAATAACATTACGCTACAATATATTTACAACAAGCTTTGGCAAACCTCCTCCCGTCTTCTCCTCTATTGCCCAACATAACGTATAAATATTGTTCTAGTTAAAGAATAAGATATCCTGGTGCAAGGTGGGGAGAGATCAGACTCTGAGTAAGACCTGAGGAGACCAAAAAAAGGGAATGGGTGAAAGAGGAAGTCTGCTTCTCTATATCTTTTATTCTGTTCTTGATCATAAATTTAAGATCATAAACATGAAAAATGTGATAGGTGGAAAGAAGAGAGCAAAGATGCAAAGCCTCTGCATTTTACGTCAAGAGCAAAAAACACTGAGAGCCCTGCTTTTGTGTGCTTACCCATTGTTACAACCGGTGTATGCCTGTCATCCCAATTTGGGATCTGCAAGCAAAAATGCGAAGTCTCTCTTTGCATTTGCTATTACTCCTCACCGAGACGTCCAAAGGGAGGCAGGGAGCCCTGCACAGAGCTGTGCGAGGAGTTGGAAGCAGAGAGGAGAAAATGCAGCCCTTTGTGGCTGCATTAGCTCCGTGGCAAGCAGCAGCACAGGAAGGGAGAGGCAAGGGAAGCATTGGTACCTGAATTGCAAGAGTGCATGTAAGAGTATTTCTTCCCAGGTCTTCAGTGCAACCTGCAGCAGCAGCTCCTTAAAACCAGATGGGATGGAAGAGGCACAGTTCCCTTGCTGGGTTTGCCTTCTAGGCAAAGGTCAGCTCGCACTGAGCTTCTGTCCTTCCCGACACATTCACTAGTCACCAAACCTGATAGAGCAGGGAGAGAGAAGGAAATCGATGGGCAAAAAGGCTGATCGTGCATCTGTAACAACATGGTTTACATTGGTGATGCTGAATCTTCCTGCTGCATGTCTACTCAGCCTCCCATGAGACCTCCAGATCATATTTAGGATGCTGTCCAATTTCAGCTTAACTTCTTTTCATTTTGCAGAGCAGTGGAATTTAAGATCTGGAAGTGCTGCAGAGCCAGTACACTGCAAATAGCAACCAGCATCTTTCTGCATCACTGTACCCCTGGAGCTCAGCCACAGGGCAAATCCTTCCCCACCTATGGATTTATCTAATCTTTTTTCCCTGTTCAGACAGGAGTTTTATGCTAAAACACGAAGACACTGTTCCAATCTTGTGCATAATCCTGGTCTCTCAGACATTTTTCTGACCAGCATCATCTGATGCGTGACCTTCAGCCTCCCCACGATGAGAAGCCCTTAGGTGTTTCCATGCAGTTTTACTACCCATGTAGGACAGTAAATAGGACAATAAAGACTTTCAAACCTTCCTAAACAAAGCTATTTGCTCACAGATTACAGCAAGGAGGTTTGCAGCCACCTGCCTGCAACTCTGTCCCCTCAGGTAGCTGTGCTGCCAGCAGGTCCCACAAACCTGGCAGGAAACCCAGAGACTCCAGGTCACCTACTTTTGCCTCTTGCTCTAGAGATCACCTGCTCCTTGGTGGAGGCATTTCTCTGTAAGGCAGTCTGTGGCACTTCTGCCCGCTCCCCTCCAACTAGGATTTTCCATGTGACAGAGCCATTTGGAAGCGATGACTACCAGTGGCTGCCAGGGCGGGGTGCCACAGGGTTGCTGTGCCTTCCATGTCTAAGACTGAGCTGGTTTCCTGCCTCCAAAAACCTCCTGATATTCACCAGAACAGAAACGAATTCACAGGCTGCTGCTGGCGCTCTCAAAACCCTCGCTGTCTTTCCAATTTAGGAAATGGAAAATAGAGGAGTTCTCAGAATCTGCCTTCCCTACATAGGATGGGCATCGTACAAGTTGTACCTTGCCGGCTTGGGCTCTAAAACCTTTATTTGTCTGAGCTGAAACCACAGCACTGCTTTCCACGCGTACTGTGTGAGTGCAGCTCCTGACCAAAGACAAATTCCCAGCAGGCTCCCTCTGTTCTTGCTGCGGGTACCCAGCTGGGACCACGCACGGAGTGCACGCACGACAAGTACCAAGCAGTGGGAAAGCCTTGTGAAGGAAAAGCGAGTCTCCTGTTTATATTTCGAGCTAGTATTTCGTGTAAGCTGTGATGTTACAAAGTCAGGCACGTCCAGTATTATAAAGACGTTTCTCCTTGCCCCTTTGTACACCGCTTGACAGAAGCAAGACAGAGTTTCTGACAGATGCTGATGAGATGAGCTATCTGGTTACAGAGCTGAAATATTTGGAAAGGACACGAGATGTAGCAGAATCTATTGCCACTGTGGAAAGGGGATTTAATTTCTGAACTATCCACACGTGGCAATGAACAACCTTGTCTCTGCCCTCTGGTGACAGCCTGCAGGCACCATGCAATTATGATTAAAGCCCTTTATTGTTTTTGTCCCAGATTAGATTAAGTTGGTATTTAAAGATACAATTTTCTCATTGCATTGTCACGCCAGGATAGAGACGTGGCTGTCTGTGCACGCTTACTGGGCAGCAAAAGGAAATCTGAATGCTGTGAGGTAAACACAGCTGGCATAACTCCCGATTTCCAGGAAGAGCTGGAGAAGTAATTACAATCCTTCTAGATTATTACTATTGATATTAATTCTTCATTTTCAGTTTAACCGGGAAAACAGCTTAAATGAGTTCTTACAGCTGCTACAGAGGAGGCAGGGATGAGAAAGCCACTGCAATGCATTTCTAGTAGGACCTACAGCAGCAGCAGGGCTCCCCCTTCCTGGCCACACCAAGCTCAGCACCCCTGCTCCCCAAATCAGCCCCACCTGAGCCATCTCGGTCCGGAGATATTCACGAACAGGCAAGATGATTCACCTGGGACCAGTTCCCGCTGCTGTCCTCAGGAGAGCTCACGAGCACCGTGGTAGCGCCTGTGCCCACAAGCCAGCCCTCTGCTTGGGAGGCTGGTGCAGCAGGGGTGCTGTGTGGAGGACAGGGAAAGCTCATCATGCAGATGTGAGGGCCTGGGATGAACATACCTAAAGACAAAACACATACCTCCAGCCCTCCTCTCACACCCAGGTCATGACCTCCACAAGGATCATCGAGCTATGCACTCCATCACATAAAACAATAAGGTAACTATTACTATTAACATTAGAACGATTTTACACACACAGTAGCTCACTTGAGGGCTGTAATGTCATCGTGCCCAGGCACACAAAGCCTGGTGACTCCGTGACACTCTAAGTGACCCACTGATACAGAGCAGCCACCTTGTTGGCCAGCAGCATCTCCTCATGACAGCATCATCCTTGGCCTAGGCATCGCATGGGCTCTCCAAACAGATCCTCATTCATCTTGTGGTGTTTTTATCCTGTTGACATCAGTCTCTGGTGAACCTTGCATTTTTGCTGCTGGTTCCAACCTGTCACTTCAAAGGTCAGCATTATTTTGTCTCACAGGCCAATTTTACTAATCTCTTTACACTCTATTTCAATCACTTTAGCGCAACAGTTTGTGCATTTGTTCTGGCAGCTGTCAGGCAGCAGGGGAAGGTGTGTGGACTCCCCTGTGAGAGCAGCAATGACACCTTTCCCTTTTCACCCAGCACTGCTGTCCTTCATTGCACACTCTGGTGGGGTCAGGCCGGGCTCCGTGCCTTCCCCAGCCAAGTTCCTCCATCATCTCCCAAGGCCTCATCCCTTGGCACAGAATGCCTTCTCCTTCCTCAGCCCAGAGAGAGAGAAGGAATGGGCTCCAGCCCACGTTTCCATGCTGTGAAATATATAACCACCTGTAAGAGGTTTGACATACACAATCATTTTGTTAAACAAACAAACATATATAGCACAGGCTGCCCAGAGAAGCTGTGGATGTCCCATCCCTGGAGGTGCTCAAGGCCAGGCTGGATGGGGCTCTGGGCAACCTGAGTTGGTGGGAGGTGTCCCTGCCCATGGCAGGGGGTTGGAACAGGATGCTCGTCAAGGTCCCTTCCAACCCAACCCTCTGCTTCCAACTTCTCTGATTCCACAATTCTGTACAACTGTTTTTACCTCCAAGCTAATCAGCTCTAGGATATACTTCTAATTCTGCGGAAAATAAATAGATAAATCCTTGTTTCTGTTCAGTAAACACTGCAATGTTTGTAGAAGACAAGTTGTATTTTTTCACGCAAAAATGTTGTGAATTGCAGCCTTATGCACAAAGCAGAACTCAGTTATAACTACAGCACCATGAGGCAAGGCAAGGCAAGGAAAAAGAGTGTTAAAAATAAATAATAATGGCTTCCAATAATTTGGATACAAAACACACATCTCATTAGCTGGATTCCAGTAGTAAGTATCAGGTGGGTCCAAGTGAGAGCCAAACCTAAGAAATGCCACCAGAGAGAGCAAAGGATGAAAAAGAGCAATGCATGAGCACTTGCCAGTGTTTAACACTCCCAGCTTCAAGTAAAAGGACCAAAGGTGATGGCAAATTGCTAACTGCCCACACATCTTCAGTGATATGGGTATGAGGGAAAGGAGAAACAAACGGGTAGGGAGGTTGAGGCGGCATGACAAGGTGCACCAGCCTGGAACCGAAAGTGCAAAGGAGACATTTAATGAGTCCCATTTAAACCCTCCTTCATCACCTGAGAGGCAATAAATGGCTTGCAGGGATTTCTCCAGGCTATTGATTACTAAGAAAGGCTCAAGGGACTCCGCCTGCTGTCTTACAGCAGGTTTACTAGGGAGTCTCCTACACATCACCCAGGAGGAATCATCCTGATTCATCTCATAAAGCATGGTCAGTCAGCCCCCAGATTATTTTATTTATTTTTTCCTGCATGGATCCAGAAGGAAGCCTGGAGAATTGAAAATCACAGCTTTCTACTGTGAAGGCACACACAAAAAAATGACAGAATCCAGTTTCAGTGTGTCATTTACCAAAGTCAATGGGAGTTTTGGCAGCCGTGCAACAAGGATGGCACACACGTAGCCAGTGAGCTACAGACCAGAGGAACAGAGATCCCGATTTGAAGTGATGCGGGGAGAGACCTGCAGCCCACTCATTTATCCTACTGGCACCATATTCTCTTGCAGCCAGGCACTTTAATACCTACCTCAAAGAGCTAAATGAGTCACCCCAGCCTGCACTCCAGCCTGGGTATAGCTGCATGGGCTGCATTCCCAAGAGTAGGGCATGTTTGCTTGTTGAAAAAAAAATAAACATTTCATTGACCCGTTCAATGACACATCTGGAAACTCTGATTTAGGAAGTGGGTTTGTGCCATTTTTAAACAGAAAAAATACTTCAGCTGCTCATGAGATGCTGAGAGTTGTATCACATATGCAGAAAATCTGTCAAGTCCCCATAGAAGAGATGGGTAAGTGTGGCTCTACATTTATTTTTTAAGGCACTTGAGAATGTGGTTTCATAACAGGCATCGCTGAGAATCCGCAACTCTCACAAAGGGTCTGGAAATGGGAGTACAATCAGCAGTCTTAGAAGATCCTCTCTGACATGCTCAGGAAATAAAGGCCCCAGAGCCCCTGCAGAGTAAAACCTCTGAAAAATCTAGTTGTAGAGAAGCATTTCACTCATAGGCAGAGCATGCAGCTTCTCTCCCTTTCTGGGCTCTAGGAAAAGCTTTCTTTTGACTTGCCTGAGATTGTCCTTGTACTTCTTCAGCATTCACGTGATGAGCTCCCACCCATGTGCAGACCTATCCACACGGCTGGCCACCCTGAGCACTCCCTGGGGCCCTCTAATTATTTTTTAACGATCTAACCAAAGACCTGACAGAGAAGAAAAAAAAAAAAAAAAGAAAAAAAAAAGAAAAAAGGCGACTTCTGAATAAGAATATCCAGAGCTTTAGTGCACCGAAGAATATTAATTTCGTAGCTTTAGTGGATTTGTCCTAATAACCACTTGTCTGCAGCACCCACTGCTCTCAGGTCCCTCCGCTGCTTCTGCCCACCTGGTGTAAAACACCAGCGAGCTTCTGGGGCAAGGAAGAGGAGAAAGACCCTTTTTAGGGGGTCCCAGACCCTTCTTCTCGGTGCCACGCCAAGTCCCTGGTGCACCCAGCCCACGCAGCCCCTTCGAGGGGATGGCTGCCACATGCAGCACCGCAGCAGGGACCCCAACAGGGTTGTTCCCGGCTCTCCCCTCCCGCTCACGTTCTCCCAGCCCCTTTTTTTTTTATTATTCTGACTTAATTGGGCGCGCTCCAGATGGCACACACCTGCACAGAGCCTCACTAATTACGCTGCGCAAATAAATGCCTCATCCAGAGAAAATAAAGGAGGAAGAAATTAGCTAATCACCCTCCCCGGCTATATCGCCGAGGTGTTTTACAAACACGCAGCCCACTCCATAAACCAAGAGCACGCGTTCATGTCTGCTCCCTTCTCTTGCCCAGTGCCGCACCAGGGCACGTGCCAGGAGCCCCTGGTACCAGCACACGAGCTCAGAGGCGGCCCCGAGCCCTTCCCTGTGCCCTGCCGCATGCACACACAAGCACAACGTCCCTGGCAATGTCCCCAAGCTCCTCTGAGGAGCTACGAGGAGGCCTGTGGAGGAGGAAGAAGAGTGGAGCAGAAATGTGGCACAATGGACCCAATTTGGCACTACCAAAACTCCAACTTCGGCTCTCCAGCGTGTTCTGGGAAAAATAAAGAAATCTAACTTTGCTTTTCAAAGGGAGAAAAGAGAAAAAAGTTTGTGTTTTCAGCCATTGCCCCTGAAGCCAGGCCCGCCCAAAGGTCCCAAGGCACTGAGGACTTGAGGCACTTGACCCAAAGATGCTCCTGGACGTAGGCCTTGGGGTCTGCACGGCACAATTTGGGTCTGAGCACTCCCAGGGGCTGCTATTTGGCAGGCTGCTGCTAAAACAGGCCCCCAGGAGCTCAGGGCTTAAAGCAGAGCCCCAAAACTGTGGCACAAGTGAAGGATGGAAACAAACCCGTGAGAGACAGGGCGCGTGCGGTGCTGGGCACGTGTCGGAAACCTGCTTTCACCGAAAAAACAGGGCAGTGGTGCTGGCAAAAGCTCAGGCATTTCTCCTTTCCAAGGGCACCTGCTCTGGAAGCAGCGTCCGATTGGTAACATACAGGAGATCAAACAAGAGCAAAAGTGAGGAAAAGAAGATAAAAAAAACAATCCTGGCAGGTTTAGAGACAAAGCGTGATGATACACACACGCGCTTTAATTAGTTCCTCCTCTGAAAGTGGAAAAAGGCCTCACTCAAAAAGACAACTTGCTTTAAAAAAAATAAAGTGTTACTTACTGTTGTTATGGTTTTTTTGTTTATCTTTTTTCCACGCTATATTTCAAGGATGCTCTTTAAAGGACCAAGTGCTGTAAGAGAGCCTTTGACTTTTTTTTTCCTCTCTCTGTCCTTGCCTTCCACAGCTGGGAGAAAAATCTAAAGGGCCTTAAATGAGTTTAAATATGAAAGACAAAAAAAAAGGCTTTGAAAATAAGCAATGAAGGAACACTCTGTGTTTGAACTCCACACAGAAAATTAAAATCAAGGGAAAGCAGAGCTGAAACTGTAGAGCATCAAATTTTTATACGTACATGTATATATATTTCGATCAGAGGACTCAATGTCTGCCTGCTTTCAATGGGACTTTTGTAAGGAGGGAAGAACAGGGCTCTGTCTTACCACAGCTCTGTGCTCTGTCTGCTATCTCCAGTCCCCAAATTCTGCTCTGGACAGGGGCAGGACGCAGACCTCCCCAGCCGAGGGGTGACAGCAGGGCTGCAGCTCCTTCCCATGCCCCGCAAACGGCCCCGATTCAGCAGGGAACAGCAGGCATGCTCCACAGGTGTTCACACATACATACAGCCTGCTCCTCCCATCCACAGAGAGCCTTGAAGCATGGCCCATTGCTGGGTATTTAAGCATGAGGGTGCACGTGGTGCACATTGTAGCCCCAGCGAGGCAGCCCCCCTTGGTGTCAAGGAAAATAATCTACAGGCAATGCAGCTGGGCCGTAATCCAAGGGAACAGATAGAGTTTCCTAGGCACTCAACAGCAGAGGAAGGCAATTCTTGCCACTTCTGCTGCTGTGGTTTCTAGGAGCAGTGAGGAGGATGATAGGATCACCTAATTAGGTTAGGAAAGATCTTCAAGATCATCAAGTCCAATCGTCAACCTGACCTACAGCGTCCCATCACTAAACCACACCCAGGGTGACTGGAAAGTCTGTTTAAATTCACTTACCAGCTGGAGAGGGGACAAAGTTGCTGGAGCTTCAGCCAGTGCCTGTTGGTTTCCTCGACACCGCATGCTGGTCTCCAGGGGCAGAGCCACGACAATGCAATGACAAAATGTGCTTTTTTCTCTTCCTCATTCTGCTCCAGAACCTCCCCTGCCTTGGACAAACCTCCCACGAGCCTCTGTGCCCCAGCTTCCCCACCTGGGAATAGGAATGAGCACAGCTACTCACAGGTGTGAGCCACATGGTGTGGATGCTAAGTGCTTAGATGAGGTATTTTTTCTTCCTTCTCCTCCCATGAACACAATTTCCCTCCTACATGGGTTAATATTGAGAGAGAACAAGAGCTGTTTTCCATTCTGGTATCTTCTCCAGCTGCAAGGAGCACATAGTGGTGCCATTTGCTTTAGATGGGAAGAATTTTAGCGTCCACCAGAGCACAGGGACCCAGCTTCTGCCTGCTGCCCCACTGCTCTGAGAACGGGATCGCTTGGCAGAGTGATCACAGCCACAGGGCATCGCTGGAGAGATTAACTCTGGAATAAAAGCTAGGTGATGGAGGGAGGCAGAGACACAGGCATTAGCCTCTGTGTGCTAATGCCGACAGCTCTCAGGGTGGGAGAGGAACAGCAGAAATATCCCGTTAAACATTTAGCTCTACAGGTTTACATCAGGTGACATACACGGAGGTGTTGTTTGCATGGTGGGCATTATTGGCAGAGCTGGGTTTTTAAGGAATGCTTTCCCGGTGCATTCTTCTTGCCAGGAGAATATGTAGGGAACTTGTGCAAGTGTAAGGGATACATCACACACATACAGAGATGAACATTTTTTCTTCCTTCTAAAGAATGGTTTGTTCCTCTTTTTATAAGGTATTAATAGAGGAGAACCTACTTCTGGTGCTTAGATGCAGCTTCTCAGCTTCCTTACACAAGCTCAGATCTGAGCTGATGCAAACCAGCATGTTTATACAAAAGGAAAAGCAAGCCGGTGGTGGTTTTCTGCTGTTGATTTTTGTGCCTTTGTGGTTGGGCCTCTTTGAGATAGCAAGATACAAATGTAGGAAGGAAGCTTTTTCTGTTGTCGGGTTAAAAATGCACAGTCATAGAAAGACAGTTCTCACTCTGAGTACTCACATTTCATGTAGTGTCTGCAGCCAGAGAGGTTAGTGGGAATGCCAGAAGAGGCTGATCAGCTCCTGAAAGAGGGGAGGGATTAGGCATTACTGTGAATTAAACGTAGTAAGGTTATTAGGTAGAATTTGATGGAAGTCAGCAGGCTGAGATCTTTTCAGGTAATAAGTGTTTTTGCTGTGCATGCGTTGCACTAGGAAAGTAAACCCCAGTGCCAACAGCCCCTGCAGACTGCTTGCTCCTGCTGTTATAGCTCTGCATTAAAGGATGCAAAAGGCAGACAAATCACCCCCACCACCTCCTGCCCACACCAGCCGCCTCCTGGCTCTGGGCAGCGGGGCCTGATCCTGCTGCAGCAAAACCAGCCTCTGGTCACTCAGAAAAGCCCTCACGAGGTGGGTTTGCCATGCCCACCTGAGCCACCTTCACTTCTCATGTCTGAACCCTGGGCTTCCCTTTTTCAGTTTCATCCACAACTGCAGAGAGAAACTTTCCCTCCTTCTTTTTTCTTTTTCTTTTTCCTGCAAAAAGGGCAACTGCAATGCAACACCAACCTCACAACTCTGGGAGCTGCAGCTGTAAAAATGAAAGCACCAACACGTGCACACACACACACACAGTCCATGAGACTCTTGTGCCTGCTGCTGTTTCTCCTGGCCCCGTTGCAATAAATGGCAGTATCGCTGTCATCCCAGGGCTGTCCCCTGCCTGCTGAGTTCTGCCACAGGTGAGTTTCAAAGGGATGAATTCCCACCTAATTACAGGAAAAAAAGGCTTAAAAAAAAAACCACAAACCACCAACACATTGTTCTTACATTTCTCCCAGAATGAACACATATATCACATAAAAACAGAAAGCAAAGCACAGGACTGAACTGACTTATCCTCCTGGGAGAAGCTGGAAACTCCTTCAATGCTATGTTTTGAAATACCATTTTTACTAGTATTTGGTACCTTAGCCATGGAGGACGCCATGCTGGATGGATCTTCTTTTCCCTGTGAAAAGCCTCTGTTTCCTCCCTTAGGCCAGCAAAGTAAATATAAAAATAGATCACTCCGAATTGGTCTGTTTGCAATGATTTGTTTAATGGCTAACCACAGTGTCTTGGGCTACTGATACATAATTTAAATGTGTCACACAAATACAACACTTTGTTCTCAATTCATTCCCTGCACATATTCAATAAATTGAGCATGGGAAAATAATACGGCAAAGAAGGCCCCGGTTATCGGTTCTGACAGGGTTCACAGTCCTTCTAAATAGGTCTTTAAGTCATTTTAGCTCGCATTTGAACACGATGCTCCTGACAGGCACGGCTCAAACTGAGCCGACAGAGCTTTAAAATAAATACTGGAAGCTGTTCGCTGAAGGAAGGTCTAGGTCCCAGTGCCTCAGCCTTGACATTTGGCTTCTGGCACCCCCATGTCTTCATGTGGGGCTAGGTCACAGGCAAGGTGGACTTGGGGCCTGCTGGCTCTCTGCACAGAGGTGAGCACCCCCCTTGCCCTCAAGAGGTGCAGAGAAACCTTTAGGGGTGCTGAAAGGGTCCCGAGATCCTGCAGGACCATTTCTGTGGCACACTGCCCTGCACACTTTCTGTGCCCATATTAAAGCTCATATTCATGGTTACACTTATTTAGGCTTTACCATTAAATCCTTTCCACATTGCAATTAAAAACTGTTCCAACACGTAGCATTAAATGCACCTTTAACATTTAAGGATCCTGTATCTTGCTGCAGGAAGTCAGATCTTCAATGAGATCTCGTCTGCTTTGATTAATAATTGATGACATTTTTGCATAGGAAAGTCAAAAAAAAGAGAGAGACACTCTTTCTATTGATCTGAGAGACTCAAGTAAATGAAACAGATGAACATTTTTGCCTACATCTGTTAACTATTGATACGACTGCAATACTGAACAGAGGCTATTTCGTGATATATACAAATTTGAGGCTGGGAACAGAGAGTCTTACGCTGCATCATGTTCAACTTCTTTGAAAATTTAATTTGACGTTGAACAGCCGGAGAAGCTGTGTATACAGATAATTCAAGGTTACGCCTAGCTTCCCGGCGAGCTGCAATGTTGTTAACAGACAAGAAGTGGTGGAGATTGTGCAGACACTTAAAAGCCTGAAAGAGATTTGAAGACCTGAGGGTAGATACTGAGCTGGGGAAGAAATCGCTTATAAAGTGCAGATCATTAGTTGGACCTCTATCACATACGATGCTTTAAAACAGATATTGGAGGAAATAATAATTAAGATGCAGAAACAAACTGGTGAAAGTCAATGTGATTTTAGGAAAGACAGCTGGCACCACACTAAACTTGTTTGGGTAACTGCTTGTCTTGATCAGGGAAAAATGATAGATTTCACCTGCACAGACTTTAGCAACGTTTCACACAGACCCATGTGGGAAGGTATCAGTAAAGCTGGAGAAGCCACGTGTGTCTTTTCTTTTCCTTTTCCCTTTGTTGTTCCTTGAATGCCATTACTCCAGTTCATACCAACTCAAGAGGGGTCCTCTCCTGACTGCAGCAGCTTGCTCTGAGCTTGCTGGTAGAGAATCTGATCACGATGAAGACAGAGGGTCCTCTCCCAGCAGCAGCTGCCATAGCTTTCCTCATCTGACATCGGACCAGGGGACCTGAGCGGGACCTGGTGCCCGGACCCCAGGGGCACAACAGCACCCTCACAGCCCAGGGAGCTGCTGGGACACTTCCCTGGGTAAGGAGCAGCGTTTTGCTGCACTCAGTCTCCAGGAGAGGCTTCAGAGCCAAGGGAAGCAGCTTATAATTAACCAGCAAGGACACATGGGGAGGCCATTTCCAAGCAATGAATATTGAATTGGAAGAGCTGAGAGGCAGTCCATAAAATAAGACTGATGAGTCATTAGCTGCCAGTCTAATGGCTTCCCTGTGCATCGGTATTTCTACCAGAAGTAGGCAAAATTAAAAATGTTACTGGGCCAAATTTGTCACCAGAAATTTTGAGGGGAAAAATAAAACAGGTAAGACCAGTGGAAGTATTTCCAATACATCATTGTCTCTTCCCAGCTACATTTAGCTGATGCCAAATGTTGTTCTCCAAAGTTTCTGGTCCTGGTGCTTCTTCCAGAGCCCCAGCTCTCCTTGCAGGCTGAATGCCCGGTGTTTGACAACTGACAATTTAGTGCACATGTGCATTTATAAACATGCCCTCCTAAAAAAAGTGCCCCAGCACACAGTTCTCCCTAGCAGGAGTGCAAAAAGAAGCAAGTTTCATGTGCCAGGCATTGGGCACTGCTGGCATGAGGGAATGCCACTGCCCTCAAGGTGATGAGCACTGACAACCATGCAGACTAGCCAGAACCACCAGCCCCTTGGAGACTTTTGCTTCTTGTATTTCTATGTCACGCTTATACCTACTGCAATTTGTCAATGGTAGAAAGCGAAACAGAGAGCAGGTTTAAATATGTGAAATGAGTTTGGTATATGAAAAGCAGTTCAGGTTGACACTGTTCAAATCAGAAGTGAATGCATTTGGATAACTTTACCTTTGACTCCAGCACTGCATGGACCCGACACTGTGAGAGCAGCTGGGCTGTGCATTAGTTTCATGGAGCTGGTAAGCCCATTCCTATTGATTTCCCATATAATTATGGCTAACGATGTCAAACTAGATTCTGTGTCTATTCTGTACTGGGGCAGGTATAATATGGGCAAGTTTCACAGCCATCACTGCGCTGTAGATACAATTAACGAGTTAATCCAGTGTCACCACAAACCATGAGCACTGTGCATTGAATTTAGTGCAGACAGGATCAGTCTACATCATCTTACTGGCTACAATCTACCTTACAAGATAAAGAGTGAAACAACAACAACAACAAGAAACAGTGTTGAAAGCCCTATCGACTCTGGAGTCATAGGAACAAACCTACGGTGTGAAAAGCCAGCAGGATGCTTTCTGGCCGGGAAGAGCAAAACAGAATTGTTTTTTACTTGGTAAGCAGTAGAAAAGCAGGACTCCGCTGTGGCTATGAGATGAACTCTTGCAAGTTGAATGTACAATCAAATCGATATTCACATGTATGGTTTTAGTTTCACACATTCAATGGGAGAAAACCCTCTGTATTCTAATCATAATTTCTGGTGGCGCAACAACAAAGACAGGGAAACAAAAGGAAGAGAAGAGTCATTTACAAACTTGTTGGGTGATAGCAACAGTGGATACCTCATCTTTAAGCACAAAATACTTCTGAACAAGTGAGTTTCACAGAGTAAAATAAGTCATCGCGCAGATTTGCAAGGCATGTTCACTGAGGTAGCAATTTGCATGAAGTAGTTTGTTGAAATACCTAGCAAAACCTTATAGAGGAAAATCACTTGCTGAGTGTCCCCCTACAGAGCAATCAGCCTTGGTAGAAGGGAAAAGATTTGTAACAGCTCCTGATTTAGCACATACAGCAGCTCTGTTTGGGTCAATGAGAAGCAAATCTGACCTGAGTCCTGCTCCTTGAGCAGTCCAAGCCCTTCAGTTGACACAGCATCTGTGACACCAGGGCTTACCATCCAGAAGGAGGTGAGCTGGGTATCCACAGCAACTTCGCAGAACAGCCAGCAGAGCCTGGCATTTCAGAGCAGCTGAAAGCTTGTCTCAAGGAGAAAGTGGCACCAGTGATACTATTGCTTGAGTTATTTCCAGGAAAAACTATTTTTTAAAATGCTGATTAGAAGCAGATTTTCGTTCCTAAAACTAGCTCATCCTAGACATCAGGAAAAAAACACAACTGCCATAGATAGAAAACTCTGACAATAGTGTTGCAGAACAAAGAGGGAGCATATGAGCGATTAGACAATCATTATTGGCTTTAGTTCCCGATAAGCGTGGGAGGCAGCAGTGAAACATCTGCCTTGTTCTGCGCTGCGCAGCATGGAAATGTCTTCAGCAGAACCACCCAAAGATTTGCAATGAGTGGGTACTCACATACTGCTGTAAAATAAATACTGAGTGGCAGAAAGGGAAAAGCTGACGATTTTTTTTAGATCACCCCTGTCCCACATATATTTTTCCCTTTTTGAATGTACCGCCCCTTGTCAGGGCTGCTGTGTGTTGATGGAGACGTTAAAAGCCATGGATCCTCCAAGATATACACCAGTATTAGAAAGTGGGATGACCTTGGGTATTTATTCCCTTTACTTCCAGCCCATTGGTCCCCTAAAGCCCTCCTACCATGTGCCCATTCTCAGATGATGTCCCTCAGCTTTCCCAAAATGTGGCAAGGTTCCTTGGGCCAGTCAGTAGTGGCCAGAAACGAGCTGTTTCAGTGCTGAAATCCACCACATGCAGTTCCCATACCTTTTAGGATTGGGGCCATCCACACCCAATGCCTTGGTGTTGCCAGCAGCAGCCCCATCTGAGAAGCCCAGGGGTGCAGGGCAGCCTGGAGCATGCTCCCTTCCTCAGCTGCTCTGTCTTCAGGCAGGAGCACAGGAATTTTAGTTCGTGTGTCTCTGTCTCATATCTTGAGAAGATTTCTTCTGTGATATCACTGTACCACAGAGCCTCATGCTGCAACAAAAGGGAAGAAAAAAGCAATAGATGTGACAGGTGTGACCTTCAAAGGACCGAACAGAAAGGAGCAGGTGAATATAACTCTTTCCATCCCTTTTCTTGGATAAAGGGAAATAATCTGCTAAGGCATTTATAAGCTGCTCACGGAGATGAAGGGAACACTCTGGCTGTGTGCAGCAGGGGGGACAGCGTGCCTGCCCCCAGCCCTGCGGAGCAGCCCTCCCTGCAGATTTGCAAACTGCTCTGCTCCCCTCCACCAGCCTGCCCTCCCACCGGAGCGAGGAGCTCAGCCTGGCTTTGAAGGCTTTGACTTGCATAACCTCTGTCCCTGCCACGATCCTCATGTTACAGGCAAGCAAGAAACACCTTCCCCTTCTCTAGGCTGGGTGTGAGGCAGGTAGCGCCTTGCCAGTGAACCAAAGGAGCGAGGATCTGCTCTGCAGGGACACTCAGGGGGCACAGGAGCTGGCTTCACCTTGAGGAACCGATGTTTCCCTCCACGGGGAAAAGGAACGGGCACTGTGCTGGGGGATGCGGCTGTGGTGATCCACAAAAACCTCTCGGTGGGGTAGAGTTGCTGGAGGAGTCTGAGCGAAGAAACCAGGCTGGTTTCTTTTCCCTGGGTCGCCTTGGGGAGTCGGCAGCGGCCTCCAGCAGCGAGTTATCGAACAATCGCTGCCGCTTTCTTCAGAGGCTGGGGGGAAAAAAAGGCCTTTGAGTGAAGAGTTAATTACAGGGATTGTGTTCCATTTCCTACAATTAAGGGAACCCATCTGTAGGGATTTTAATTAATGGAGATCTTATGGGGAGCTTCAGTTTGGCTGGAGGGTCTTATTGGGTGTACCGTCTCCTCCTTTAGCTGTGCAGTCATTAGCATTTGCCATTAAAGACAGCGTTGGATGGCAATAAATGAGGGATGGACAATACAATGGCTTTCATGCAGAGCAGATGTGAGCATTTGCCTCTTCCTACTCCCACCATCTTTCCCAAATTAATACAACTGCTGGCCACAAAAGTCTTTTCTTAAAAAATAAAAAATGGACGTTACAATTCATGCACACAAAGCCATTTTAAAAGAATGAAATGAAGACATTTCACCCATTTTAAAAGAATGAAACGAAAGACATTTCACCCTGTATAATATATGAAATATAAGCAGATGTGGGGTGGATATTAACAAGAATGATCTAAATAGGCCCCCTTTCATTCCGTTTTTTTCTTCATTTTATTGTTTTTCTGTGCGTCACAATTAAAACCTGCCAATGTTACTTTTGATCCCTCTGTTGTTTTTTTTTTCCAGCTTCCTTTAGATACAAGCTCTCTTTGGGGTAGGTTATTTTTTTCCCTCAGTTTAACCTACTGAGTTTCTTCAAAAAGTACCTCAAAGAAATAAAAAAAGGTAGTTTAAATCACACGTCATGCCTGGTATGCGCTTAAGACACCCCAAAGCACTGAGTTTGTGCAGCCACGAGGACTGCATAGTGTAGCCAGAAGCCCAAATCACTGGGCATCTTATCTTCTCCTGCCTCCCTGGGGCTTTGGATGGGAGCTGTACATGTCCTTTGCTCCCAAACTGGGGGCACAGGTGCTCCCGGCCCTCCCTGCCTGCAGCACAAAGCACTACCACACAGCACAGGCCGACTCGCAGGGCTGAGCCAGGCCAAGCAGGCAGGGCTCACTGCACAGGCCTTCAGGTCTGCTTCCAGATAAACCCTGTGAGACCTTCAGATGCACAGTGAGGGTCTGGGGGTGAAGCAAGCCAGTCAGCGGGTCTGTATTTACTGGGCCCTGCCTATTTAATGCCTCTCCTGGGCCCGGGCCTCAGCCCTATGGGTGAGGCCACCCTTGCAGGCCACGTCCCAGAGCTGACCCACGCACTGTAAGCTGGAGGCAGCTGCACAGACCTCTGTGGGGCACGAGATGATCCCAAGGATACAACTGGAGTAGTATCTTATACTACACCTGCAGAGGTGCTTTCAATCTTCCTGCTGCCTGGATTTCACTTCAGTCCCTTCTATTATTTTTTTCCCAGTTTGCAGAAACCATTTTTCATTCACTGTCTTTAACGAGACACTCAGCTCCACAACAATATCCATCTCATCAATCTTTTCCCTTCAAGAGCGCTAGTGCTCTCATTAATGTTCAATCCCTTGTCTTATACACAAGGCTATACACATACACACACGTGCACATATATAATAGGTGTGTGCAGTAGGTTCCTTTCCTTTTGTCTTTTTGTTCTTTGCTGTGTTTACATCGAGTTCGTAACGTTCTTGCAATTACACGACTGTTAGTCACGTTATTGATTTATTGGGCCCTGAACGATCTGTCCTCCTCTGTAGCAGCTACTTGAATTTTCCTGGTTGCTCTTAACACTCTCCTACTTTTCTCTCAGGAAGAATATTAACCAGCTTTCCTGTCGTGTCCTTTCTCCTGCTTGTTAGTCATCCGATGGGATCTACCCACCCATACATAGTTTTCTGGTGCGATACGCTCTGCAGCAGTGACGTGTATTTACCTCGACCTTTGGGGAGTTAATCTGAGTCAAAGCTGAATTCTAACTAACCTCAGATTACTATTTAGGAGATTTTGCAATGACTGCCCTCCTAACTAGGCCCACTGTGTTACCCAGAGCCCCATCAGACAGCTCTGCTCCCTCTTGTATGTGCTCAGTCTGCTCCCAGTGCAATCATTCCCAAATTTCCAAAGTCAAAAGCTTTACATACTGCCTATTCTCTGTCTCAGTGCCTGGAACAAGCCACAGTTGCCTTTACTACTCAGTCAAGTATTGCTGAAAATGCAGTAGATAGACAATATGCTATGCAGAACAGCAAGCCTTTGGGGGTTTGAGGCATTGAGTAATGCAGCTTCTCCTGTGGGAGTGGTGCAGAAAAACAAACCAGCTGTCTGGATTGAAATCACGAGCAATTAACAGCAGTTTCAATTACCCAGAGCAGAACTTTATAAATATTTGCAAATTACACCCTACCTATTTTCACATGAACAGTGGCAACCCTCTGGAGAGCTCTCCCCAGATCAGAGGGATGTTGGCGGAGGGAATTCTGAAGGTCAAGAATTCAGGAGATATTTCAAAATCCTCTTCTTAATTAGAAGAAGCAAAGACTCCTCTGCTGTGCATAGATGGGCACAAGAGCTCCAGATAGAAATTAAAGAGGGTCATCAGAGAGAAACTCTGCCAGAGCGTTCGCGTCGCAACACATGCCATGGAAGGAATCCCAACAGGAAGAGATTCCACCCCTGCCCAGCCTTCTGTATCCAGTGGGGACACCACAATTGCACTTATAATCAGAGAAAAAAGGACTCATTCATATATACTTGCCTTGTGAGAAGAGACTGTTTTGGAAATGAGTGCCTTTGCATACAAGGAAGATTTCTTTGGGCTGGGGGGATCTCATTTTCCTTGTTGGGGCTGAAAGAAACCTAAGGATCGTAATTGTTGCCATGTTAAAATGATAGCTGTAGAGACAGCAACCCACCCCAGATAATCCGATAAAAATAGCTAAGATACATTGGGAATGGAATCCATCACCACCTCAGTGAAGCCACAGGAATCTCTCCATTGTAAATGTGCTCCATGCGACAATGCCAGCTCTCGCAGGAGCGATAGTGAACCATAAATCATGCTAACTAGTAACAGGACCCACCAAACAATGCAAAATGCCTATAAATTGAGACTTGACTCTACATTCAGAGAGCTGTGTCTAAACTTGGAGCATTTGGGGGGATGGCTGGAGGCAAGAGCCAAGTCTCTGCTCAGATCCTGGGAGGAGAACTTAAAGCTGGGACACCACCTATCAGGTGAGCTCTGAAACTAATGACACACAAACCATTGCATTTTGTTCCTAGCTCATTTTGGTGACATTATACACTCTCAGTGTGTCTAAAAACTGATGCCCAGATAAAGGAAGCACTCGTTTGCATTTGGGCACAGAGTTACGGATCCATGGTACCTGTATGATCGTATGCTTCTCTTTGAAATGCAGTTACTTTAGGCACTTCAGAATATCTCAATCACCCTATATGCCTAAGTGCTTTGTGGATGGCATACTAAATGCTTGCTTTCAGCAGACAATGAAGAAGTAAGGTGTTGCTCCTTGTGTGTAAAGATGGCAGGCTCAGGTTCAGCTGAGGAAAGCCTTCATTCGTAACGAAGGCCTGATTTCCACGGGAAGCTAACCAAAGTCAGCTCTTATGTCAGTGCCCATGCAAATCCACACTGAAGTCAGATTCAGATGAGGAGGAATTTGGTCAAACCTGAGAGTCTGACTACATTTTGCTGTCATTAATTATTTAGAGATTGTCTAAAACTGGATTTAGATCCTGCAATTGGGTTTGAAAGTCTTGGCACATGAAGCATCTCTCCCATGGCTACATTTTTGTCACAAATTTTCATGTATGTTAATGAGAGCAGAAAGAGGAGAGTGAGCTCTCCTACAGCATACTCTAATTGCTTACTGATTCAAAGGAACATGCACACACATCCTAAAAATCAACCCAGAATTTTCTGCGGGTGGTGGTAAAATTTGAATTAAATAAGGGTTCATTGAGAAGTACTGGTGTGGTTCCAAAATTGCATTACTCTTTATCTGGATTCACAAATGCACATTTGATTAGGACTACAAGCACAAGACAAAATGCCTCATGGCGCAAATGCTACCCAAGGCGTAAAGATAACATTTCAATAATTCTTTCTTCCATCTACAGACATCATTACTCCAAGTAGCGTTTTACGGCACGGAGCATAAGACTGTAGTAAATCTTTCAGGTACTACCTACAAACATGCATCAAGGCAATTTTTCCTTTACCACTTGTGAGTGGATTTTTTTATGTGGCTCCTCAACACTCCAGCACTTAAAACAGAGGATAAAGCAGGGCTTTCCAAAGTGTGACTGTTTGCAGGCTCTGAAGCTTGTAGGAGCCCACAAAGAGCCTTGCTAATGGCAGCTGCCTCAGGAGCTCAGTGAGTTAGGCAACTGGTCCTGAGCTCACCTGGCTGTGGTGTGGACCAAGGCTGGGCCTGCCAGGCCTCCTGCCCTGCTACAAACTGTGTCACCCTGCACTTGAGGTCTGTAACATGGCTCCTCAGACTGAAGTTTTCACCTGGAGCTGCAATGGATGATGTAAAAGTCTGACTTTGCTAAAACCCTTGGTGCCACCTAGCTCCACAGCCTCAGTGAGCACCTAAACCAACCACTGCCTCCTCCCAGCTCGTTCAGCCTCACCATGCATGCAACACAGAAAAAAAAAAAAAAAATCTCTTGTGAGCTTCGGATGCTCAGGAAGAAGTCCAGCAACAAGAGCCATGGCGCAGGAGGGGTCCTCTCCTCATTAAGTACCCTAACGAGTAGCAGCGTTTAATGACACCAACAAAATTGAGGCTTGACTGCGGTAATAACCAGAAAACACACAGGTGGAAATACTTTGTAATAGGTGGTCCATGTTCTTCAGCACTCAGCCAGGCTTTGCTGAGCTGACCGAGAGCAGAGCGGGGACAGCAAAGCAGCCGGCATGGCAGCAGCCCCACAGAAGGAAGGGTTGGGTGACCTCACTCCCATCCTGAGGGGCTGACTGCAAGGCTGGGACCACAACCAACAAAATCCCCAGGCACCAAGAAGAAAACCAAAGCAGCAAGCACTGTAAGTGCTTCAGAAATCATAGCTCTGCGTAATACCCAAATTACTTGTAAAGGATCATT